TGATGTCACAAGAGCTGCCTTGATCTATTAGGATGCGTTTCACTTGGCACTCCCCAACCTGGAGGGATACTACCAAGGCATCATTATGTGGATGCTGGACCATTTCTAGGTTAGCTTCAGTGAAGGCTATCATCGGTCCTCGGCACTCTTCAGGCCGAAGTCTTTTATGTCCGACCTGGTTCACGTGCTGCAGGTGTTTTACTCTTTGGGTTTCTCCCTGAATGTTGCTTTCGTTCACTTTTGAGTGAATTACATTAACCACCCTAGGTCCCCCTCCCTGTGGTTGCTGTGCTGGGGGAGGCGGGGTTGCTGGTGCTTGAGGCAATCTTGCCTGCTCTTCTCTTGTCCTGGCTTCGTCAACGAGTTCCCTCAGATGGCCTTGCCTTACTAAGTCCTCTAAGTATGCTTTTAGGGCTCTGCAGCACTGAGTTGGGTGCCCTTCTTCATTGTGGTAAGCACAACGCCTACCAACGTTCCTTCCCATGTATTCCCCTGGGGCCTTTGCTGGTGCTCTGAAATAAAGTTGATTTCGGATTTGATCCAGGACTTTGTGTACTGGGATTCGGAACACAGTCGCCACCGCCTGTTTACCCCTCAATTCTATTTCTGATTTGTTAAATCCGTTGTCACCTCGGCTTCGCTTCGGCTCGCCGTTCCCTTTTTCCTGTTTATTCCTCGCCGTTCCCTTCTTATTCCCCGATGTGTCCTCCTCGGCTCTAGCATATTTCTCAATTCTCGCCATGAGCTCTTCTATGCTTTTTGGCAAAGTTTTTGCCAAAGACTTCCGTAGTGGATAATTGTCTTTTAGGTCGTTCTTGAATGACCCGACCGCTACTTCTTGATTACATTCTGGTATTCGATTGAACACCTCATAGTACCTTTTCGCATAGGCCCTAAGGCCTTCGTTTTTGCTGATCTTCAGAGCCATCAATGCGTCCACCCTCAATGGCTATAGTTTGTTCATCACAAACCTGGTCACAAACATCTCGGCCAGGCCTTCCCAGGTCTTTACACTTCCCTTCGGTAGTTTATGGAACCAATCTGATGCAATTTCCCCAATGGATGAAGGGAATACTTTGCAGAGCAACGACTCGTTCCCACTATATAATGCCATTGAATTCAGGTATAGCCCAACGTGGAAGTTGGGATCTGACTTACCATCATATATTTGGAACCTCGGCATACTGAATCGCTTTGGTGCTTGAAATTTGTCCGGTTCCATCGAAAATGGTGTCCTCGGCTTAACCGTTGAAGTTACCTCGGCTTCAGCATTCTATTGCTTCCTCTTGAGGTAATCTCTCAAGTCTTCTTTACTCCTTCTTGGAGCTCGGCTATCTCTTGACTTCAATCTCTTCGGCACACTACTCTCGGCCTCGTGGTGGGCTTGTTTTGATCTCTCTCCATGTGTTGTGTCAAAGCAAAACGCCTGCCCTTGAACATGCCGATGTTCTTTGGGTTCTGGGTCCTTTGTGTGATACGTTCTTCAGGACTCCTCTCGTCTCGGCTCCTCTCGTCCGCCTTCCCTAGAAGGTCGGTGAGAGTGCCTTCCGCTCCTGGTGTGCTGAGGGACTTCGGGGATTGTTCTTCTTCCTCCATTCTGGGTGTTAGTTGCTGGCATCGGCGTATCCTGCAACGGGTATGGTGGCTGCATGACATTGTTTTGTATCATGAAGTTGACCACTGACTGTAGGTCTACCAACTTGTTTGCCAAGTCTTTTACTTCCTCATCCCTCCGTAGGAACCTATCCCTCCATACCTGAAGGTTATCTTCGTTATAATACTTGCTTTGGTCTGTCCTCTTCGAAGCGTCGCCCTCCTGGCCGACGTCTTTCTCTCCCTGGCCCTGGTCATGAGTTCTTGTATTGTGGTTGTCTCCTTCAACGTCAAGGTCAATTGGTCTGCCACTCCCAGCAGGAGTGTCGCCCCCAATGTTTTCTCTGTCCGTTACTGGCCATCTATTCTTCTAAGTTTCCACAGACGGCGCCAAATTGTGTGAGTGATTTTTGACCACACTGCCCGCCTAGTAATCAGCTGGAGAGCACCGGCAGAATAGATGGCTTCAGCAAACCTGTAACAGAAAGAAAAGGCTCCGGCGGTGGCTCTTCCACCCGGGGGCACTCCGACGATCAAGTCAGTATATCTCTCAAAGATAATCAAGTGCTAAACTCACTAGTCAAAGCATAAAACTGCGTACCTTAGACCCACGGGGGTGCCTCTTTTTTATAGTTTACTCAATCCTAGTCTCACTAGAAGTTTGACTTCTATGGACTCTATTTTTGTACTTACTTTGGATTTCTCAAGAGATAAAGATAAACTCTCTAAGAGTTTTATCCTTATCTTAGCAAAGTTTTCTCTTTACTCTAGGACTCTTGCCCCTTATCCATTATCCGCTTATCTCGAATTCCGATATCTTCGGAGATAACCTCGGCCTCGCCGAGATAATCTCGGCGTCACAACCAGCACACGTGGCACTTCGGCTGACACGTCGGCGTCACCTTGTCACGTGTTGATATTCAGAAAATACATCCCCACAACAACAAAAAAAAAAAATTGCAAAAATTGGAGATAATTGGGAGGGGGCGTGACCCCCCTCGTCCTTCTTTCCCTCCACCAATAATACTATACTGAGTTGTTTTCTTGCCATTCTCTTACGTTCTTTAATACCTACCAAGGATCTTCTAGAGTGTTTTTTTCTTAAAGTTTCCTAGAATGGCGTATTGTGTGGTTGAGATTTAATATTAAAAAATTGATGTGACTTGTTATTAATCTCAACCACACAATGCCCCACTCTAGGAAACTTTAAAAAAAAAAACTCTAGAGGATCTTTGTTCCTTTATACCACGTAATGGGCTACTACGTGTCTTTCTTTTATTTATTGGTTTAACTATAGCGGCAACCTAAATCTAATTCCATAATTAAATAAAATGTTGGATATATGATGCCTTTCTGTTGCTATAACCTATAATTTTGTTGGAAAGATGGCTAATTTGTTGGAATGTATATGAATAATGTAAATCTTAAGTTATAACCTATAGTTCATAACATAAATGCATATGTAAACCAAATTAAGACTTGTATCCAATTAAGTAAGGTAATAACTGTGTTAAATTTTTTTATACCATTCCAATTTGGTGAGGATTATATACTTAATTAAATTAAATAGAAATTTAATCAGGATCTTTAGTCTAGTGATTGTGTAGCGTTGCTTTGTAGTGTGAGATTATTAGTTAACTCATATAAAGATGAATTTGATACCCTTTGCAGTGTTTGTTTATGAATCTATTATGGAATATTGTAGCCTATACTAGGTACTATTGCCTTTGGATAAATAAATTTTGTTAAGAAGAAGTTCATCAAATTTACTTTCAATCAATTAGGTCGAAAAAAAAAAATGAATAAATTAATAATGTTTCCTATTGAACAAGGACAGGGCTATGTATAGTTTAGTGGTGTCAATTGACACCACTAAACTTTCAAATTTTGTTCGAATATATATGGAATTTTGTCTAATAGTTTTGGATTTTAACAAAATGATCCCAGTAAATCTAGATAAATATCACATATATTTGGAGTTATTCATTGTTTAGTGATGTTAATTTTAACTCAGTGTTCATTCATTCATTCGCTTCATCAACGCTTTATTCTCTAACAATCATTGTTGCATTGCCATTGTTGCATTCCTTTACTTGTTCCTTTTCTCTCCATCTGAGTGACCCCACTAAGTGGAATTTCTGGCTACGCACTGCTATTGAAACTGTAAAAAATTTATCTTAATGACTAGGACTTATATCACCTAATAAAAAATCATATGAAATTGAATTTATCACCTAATATTTTAAGTAGGTAAACAATTAGTAATTTTAGTGTTTATATAAGTAAATTTTGTGTAGATACAAAAATAAAAATAAAAATAATACTAGTTACTATTTTATCAACAAATATATTTTTTAAAACTTGTACAGAGGTTCTATTTTTTTGAGTTCGTCTTTCATCCCTAAAAAGTAAAGGTTGACTCTAGTGATTGGTGGGGGTGTGCGTGGTTCAGTACAATTTGAGCCTAAAATTATAAACTAAATCATAAATGGTAGATTGATAAATAAGTAAATCATGGTTTGAGCGATTTTAATTTATTAGTTGATCGAAGAATAATCTTAAATATATCAATTTGTAATAAATTTTATATATTAAATATCTCTCACATTGATTTTAGTTTGATATTTCATTAGAGGTAAAAAAAATGTATTAATTATAACGGAGTAGTGCGGTTTTAAAGACAGATTATAAATTTCAAGTTGCGAATTAAACTAACCTGCGGTTAGTGAGCAAATCAGTATAAATTGGGTTATTTTAACAAATTGAGTTGTATTTTGGCTTATTTTGGGAAGATGGTAAAAAGTGACCTTTTGGCTTTTAACCAAGCTTTTGGCTTTTTTAGACAAATGATTTGGGAAGTTGGTAAAAAGTGACTTTTGACTTTTTTGATTAATATTTGTTTATGATGTCAAATCATAATCAAATGACCAAACTACCCTTATTTAGTTTAAAATATTACAACTTCACCCATGTAACCTATTTTGACTCATGAAGGGTAAAATTGTAATTTCACCCTTGGCTAAAAACTACCTTCCCAAATGAAAAAAAATTTAAAAAAACTAACTTTTAGCTTTTACTACAAATCAAAAAAAGTGGCTAAAAGCCAACTTCCCAAAATAAGCCAACCTTAGTGGTTGGGCTGTTGGAGGTTAGGGAAAGGACTGGTGGGGAGTAGGTGTGGTGGGGGAGGGGGCTACTGGAGAAAGGTGGCAGGAGTGGGGGGTTGAAAGAGTATATTTGGTGTTATGGTGAGGTTAGAGAAGAAAAGGTTAGGAGCAATTTTGAAAGGGAGGTCTAAAGTAGGGGTGGAAAGTAAAATAGTGAACTCTTAGGAGCACTCATAAAATAATAATCTTCACTTTTCACCAACCGATTCGAATCAGCGGAGATATTCTAAACAAAACCTGCCGCCAAAAGAATGTCCACGTTCACTGACTGCTCCAAGGAAAAAAAAAAACGGTGTTTTCAAGTTTCAACCGAATCGGTATCAGAACAGAACGTAGAGAAACAAAGAACAACAAAGTGACGAACAAAAAAAACCTAAGGTCGCCCATCAATGGCGGTGACCAAACCCAAGGGCAAGGGTTCTTCCGCCCCGACCTCACAAACCTCGAATTCCAGACTTCGGCTTTATTCTCTGTTGCTCACTCTTCAGTACGGTGCTCAGCCATTGATCTCCAAACGATTCATCAGGTTAATTGCATTGTCTCGCTTCCATTGAATTTGTATCGACACTGTGATTGTTTTGATTTTGTATGGAAATGATACTCAATTCTCTTTGATATTCGTTCGATTTTCTTGTTCTGACTTGTGATTTTGTAAATCGAAGCTTATTATACAAAAATTGTGATTTAGTCACGTACAATTTGATTGATTCAATTGAGTTTTAGCTCATTGGTTTGCTAAGCTGTACAGAGGTCTGGTGGCAAGGATAGGTTGAGGGTGTGCGCGGCTGCACCCAAAAATTTGAAAAATATCATATATTATATTAAAAATTTTAAAATAACTTCAAATTATAGGAGTTCGCACCCTCAAATTTTTTGTAGATAATTTCAAAATTATATAGAGTAGCCCCTTCAATTTTTCAAACTATAAAGTAACCCCCAAAGATATAATCCTAGATTCGTCCTGCTCAGCACAAAATACTATTTGAACTATATTTTTCCCCGAAATGTTATAATAGTATTTTTTTAGAAAAACGTGATTTACAAATGCGTTCTAATTTTGTTTGGGAAATAAGTTGATCTGTACATTAGTAGTTTAATATTGAATTAAAAAAATCTAAACAGGTCAAACACCAATTATTTGTAAGGCTGTTATACGAACCAAGCTACTTGAGCTTGACTTGTCTTTGGCTCGTCAAAAACTTGTTCAAGGTCAGATCATTATGTAAACAAGCCAAGCTTGAACACAATTTTAAACTTGTTAAGTTTTGAAACCAAACTTGAACAATCTATTACTTAACTCGATAAGTTATATGCATTGTAAAAAATCAAGCTACTTGAGATCGACTCGTTATGTAAACAAGCCAAGCTTAAACACATTTCGATGCTTGTTAAGTTTTCAAGCCAATCTTGAACAACCTACTACTCGGCTCAACTTGACTCATTTATCACCCTAGTTATCTGAGACAGTTATACCTAGTTGAATGTTTGTGCAGGAACATAAAGGAAGGAGTCCTTTTGTCACCTTTCCTTTAACATCTAGTCTTTGTTGGTAAAGAGTTTTAACAGAAGATTTTTGGTGTTAGGAGTTTGAGAATTGTAGTAACTACTGTTAAGTTGATATGGAGGAGTTACTTACCAAATCGGAGTTTTTCCAAAGATTGTTTCCCAAATACAGGTTATTTTGAATTTTTTTGAACTTGTGTTTTTCAAATCTCGAAGTCACACACAAAACAACATGGATTTGGAAAATCAATTTAAAACTGTCTGGGTTTGGTAAAAACTCATATATGGAGATTTGTGACTGGTCAAATTACTGCAATCAGTTATTTGATGGGGTGAAAGTCAGAGAGTGCAGGGAGTAATGACTTCTTAAGCAATGGATCATTAGTTCCTCATTTCACCTTGTGAAAACAGTGTTATCACATGGTTGGTGTAAATATGAATACGTCATCCTACTACTGGTTGCATTAAAGTTATGGATTGGGTTGCTTCAAAAAGATTTGTTGAGTTTTACTATGTTATGGATGGAGTTCTAACTATTTTGTAAGCTCAAATTGTTTGTCGATTTTATGCTTGGCTCACTTGCAGATAGGGGTGCAACTTGGGCGGGCTCAACTCGAGCAACCCGAACCCAGCCCGAATTCTTTTAGGGTTTGGACAAGATATTTTCAAATTTGGTACGGGCTTGAGCAAAAATTCAGAATTCCGAATTAAATTTAGACGGGCTTGGGCAAAGACGTCAAACAACCCGAGAAATCCGAAACCCGAATTATACATATATAGACATATAAAAATATTAAATATATATAAATTATTAGCCATTATATGATATTAAAGTAATTTAGATTATTAAATCATATTGAATATATATTATAAGCCATTATATGATATTAAAGTAATTTAGATTATTAAATCATATTGAATATATATTATATATACAAATAATATAAAATCTTACTTTTTTTTTTCTTTTTCGACTCGTAAATTGTAAAGACTACTATAGTGGCATATCTATATTATATAAATTATTTATTTTGATGGCATTAATGATTTTCTATAAATAAAAAAAATGTAAATAGAGTCAAATTTTATCAATTTAATAATATAGCCGCAAAAAAAAAAATGAAATTTATTTACAATTCAGGCAATTCGGGCAACTTGGGTTTAACTCAGGTTGGGCTTGGACAGACAACCTTGGGTTACAATTCGGGCTTGGACGGGTCTGGACAGATCTCAGCACAACTTGGGCTGGGTTTGGACAACCTGCCAGCCTGACCGAACCTGCTTGAGTTGCACCCCTACTTGCAAATGTAGTACCAATTATTTTACACAGAATGACTATTAATATTGATTCTTTAAATTCCTCTTACATTTTCATACTCTAGAAACCAATTTCCCAGCAGGAAAAGAGATAAAAAAGAAGGAGAAGGAAAAGAGAAGTAAAACTGGTGTTAAGTTTTTCAGTATTTACACCACAGGAGCATTTCTACTTTTCTTGTTAATTATTACCTTGTGCAGTGATAAATGCAGGTTCAATTTTTAACCGATATATAGTACTGTAATTTTCCAGTTTTCAACTAACTATGATTCTTGCAGACAAGAAGTTATTGTGACGTCATCTGTTTTGGCATGTGAGATAATAAAGGTTTTCTCCTTCATCATTTGTTTTGCACTCCATCTTTGTTTTTGATCTAATAAACATTGAAGGAAATGTACTTTTCATTTGCTTACAGGTTATTTTTGCTCTTATACTCATTGTAAGAGATGGTGGTTTGAGGAGACTATTCAAGGAGTGGACTTTAGCTGGTTCATTGATTACATCAGGATTGCCAGCAGCTATTTATGCGCTGCAAAATAGTCTGCTGCAGATTTCATACAAAAATCTTGATTCCCTCACATTCTCAATGCTGAACCAGACAAAACTGTTTTTCACTGCTCTGTTTACATATATAATACTGAGGTATGTTTTTCTAGATCTTCAACTCAAAGGCAAGTGGGTTAGTCTATTGGCTAAGATTTTTGCTATGTCAATAAATAATAATTTTTTGTTGATAATGGCTTATCAATTTGAAAACCTGTCTGAAAAATAATATGAGTTGCTGAAGTACACTTCAAACTTATGAGTTGGTAAAAGAAATAATATCGTACTTCATTGAGCTATCTGGTGGGTGTTAAAGAAGAAAAGAGTGACAAAAGGTTACATTGATGTGATTAGGGATATATATGAAGGTGTGGTGACCACTATTAGATCGCCTGCTGGAGAGATAAGTGAATTTCCAATTACTGTAGGGTTACACTAAGGATCAACCTTAAGTCCTTATCTTTTCGCTTTAGTTATGGATGAGTTGATGCACAATATTCCGGATGATATGCCACGGTGTATGCTTTTTGCAGATGATATCGTATTAGTGGATGAGACTAGAGAAGGAGTTAATACTAAGTTGGAGATTTGGAGAAAAATACTTAAATTTAAAGGATTCAGGATAAGCATAACTAAGACAGAGTATATGAAGTGCAATTTTAGTAATAGTCACAATGGAAACAAAGGAAAAGTGAAGATTGAGAACCAAGAATTACCTAAGAGTGAACATTTTCGTTATTTAGGATCGATTATCATGACGACTGGGGAGATTGGAGCGGATGTGGTCCACAAAATTAATAATTAAGACGGGTGGCTTAAATGGAGGAGTGCGTCTGGAGTTCTGTGCGATAAATGAGTACCCATTAGACTAAAAGAGAAGTTCTATAAAACGGCTATTAGACCAGCGATGTTGTATGGAACGGAATGCTGAGCACCTAAGAAACAACATGTAAATAAGATGAGTGTTACTGAGATGAGGATGTTAAAGTGGATTAGGAATGAGTATATTCGAGAATGGGTAAGAGTAATACCAATGGAAGATAAGTTGAGAGATAATAGATTGACATAGTTTGGTCATATACAACGGAGACCAAGAGAGGTAGTAAGTGAAGAGATGCGATACAGTGACGGTAGATGATAGTGTTAGGGCAAGGGGTAGAAATATGATTTTCCTTAATTTGACTAACGAAACGTTCTTGGGTAGAGTCGAGTAGAGAAGAAGTATTCATGCAACCGACCTCATTTGATGGGACTTAAGGTTTGGTTTGACAACATCTATGGATTTGATTCTTAATTTAATTCTTGTTATGTTACTTCCTTTCAGTAAGTATAAAAAGCAAAAATTATATATTTTAGCGTTTGATTGGAAGCAACCTTTTTGTCAACTAGGATATTGCTTTCCATAAGTACTTGGAAACTCTATAGCAACCCCTATTCTCCCCAGATAACCTGTCATCTGCTGTTGGAGAAGTCCTCAATTTATTTCCAATCTTTCAGTGTCACTCTTCTCCCTTTCATAATCCATGTTTTCTACATTTTGGGTTACATTTTTTCCCTTGAAATATAATGATCTTTGTTAACATTTTTGTTTCTTAGTATCTTATGACTGTATAATGGGGGCACATTTATTTCTTCAATAAAACTGGCTAGATCTGCCTTTGGACTGTAATTGCATGAATAAGAAGATGGACTTGCATTGCATGTTTTACCTTAACAATAATTATAAATCATTTGCTTCTATGCATTTAACTAGTAAATATTCTGAGAATGTGATTTCTGAGGTTTCTATGAATATGTTGTCTATTTTTTTGGTTTATCTTATCTGTAGGCAGAAGCAATCAATCCAACAAATTGGGGCCCTCTTTTTGTTGATAATGGCAGCCGTTCTTCTAAGCATTGGTGAAGGATCTAGCAAAGGTTCTACTAGTAGTAACCCTGATCAAATTTTGTTCTATGGAATAATTCCTATCATGGTAGCATCTGTGCTCTCTGGCCTGGCTTCTGCTTTGTGTCAATGGGCTTCTCAGGTTGGCAGAAGTTTCCTATAACTTTGATTTTAGTAAAAATCTTATAGTTGTTATTAATTTAATCCTTTTACATTTTTTCTTTTTTTTTAACAGGTTAAGAAACACACATCATACATGATGACCTTAGAAATGTCTACAGTTGGAAGCCTGTGCTTGCTGGCAAGTACCTACAAGTCTCCAGATGGAGAAGCCATCAGACAGCATGGATTTCTCTATGGCTGGACCCCACTAACTTTGGTAATGATCTTTATTGATATTTGATGATTTTGACTGTTATAAATTGCTCATCAGGCAAGTTGCATCCATGCCTGACTGGGAACCCTCGCAAATATTAAGTAGATTAATCCAGAAACACTTGGGCAGTAACAATAATATAACACATATATGTAGTTAACCCTGAAATCATGGCATTATCTCCCTCCTTTGTTCCTAGATTTTCAGTCTAATAGTAGATAATGTTGATGGTCTAGCTCATCTGATCTTTTGTATTGTGTAAATAGATTCTCTACGGTGCAGTTAAAATTTGCTTCTAATATATATGATATGCTTCTTACCCTTGGTTTGAGACAGAACCTCTTGTTTGTAGTTTCCATCCCTTGGTTTGAGACAAAACCTCTTGTTTGTAGTTTCCATCTCTCAGATTCCCAAATACGTTTGTCATTTTATAGTGGCACGCTTATTACTTGTGAAAAATTCTGTCTGATCAAGTAGATCCTTGAAGATGGTGTGGTTTCAATGAGATGGATTAGATGCTTTCATATGTTAGGCAATATGAACTTTTTTTCCCCTGCCTCCTCATGGTGTCATTTATTAATTTATTTTTTAGGGGGCAATGTGTGCTATTTTCCACTTTGTATTAGGTATTACTTAAGTGTTTCAAACTTGCTGGTTTTATTTTGTTCAGATTCCTGTTATATCCAATGCTCTTGGTGGAATTCTTGTTGGCCTCATTACATCCTATGCTGGTGGCGTTCGAAAGGTAAGTCCAACCTTTAAAAAATATATAATTTTGTAGGTTGCAATATGGAATGATGTCACTGGAGATCAGACAGTGTCAAGCTTGCCAGAATTTTTCTATTTGCCACAGATTTATTAGTTAAAAATCAAAAAGCAAAATTCAAGATGTTCTTATTTGCTGTTTCAATGGCACACATAGTTAGTGGAAACTTTTCTTCGAAAGATTTCCATGCAGATCTAATGGCCATTGGATTACATGATGGATAATTTGTTAAAAGTTGTAAAAAAGAAAAAAGAATCACAACTGTACTAAATAGAATTCTGCTACTGAACATGTTTATATTCGGTCAGCTTTGGTGGGCCTTGTAGTATTTGGACTAAAAGAGTGTCATAGACTTCACTTTTAGTTATGTTCTTGGATTTATTTGTTTATATTTAAATGCATGCAGGGATTTGTCATTGTTTCCGCACTTCTTGTCACAGCCTTTCTGCAATTTATCTTCCATGGAAAACCAACTTCATCGTATAACGCTGTAGCTCTTCTACTTGTGATTTGCAGTATTTCAATATACCAGAGATATCCATACCGTGTGAAGAGGAAAGAGTCCTAAGTCTCACGACATTAGGGGAGGTATTGCAATTGCCCCAATTGATAGGATGTTCATTTGGTTCAAGTTGTTCTGACTTTCCAGAGAGGAGTTTTCTAGATTCTTTTGGAGTAGTGTACAAATGACTACTAGCTTAGGAAATTAAGAAGGTAATCTTTGATTTCTTTTATCAAATTCATTACCATTTAAATTGTATATTGATGGGGGCTTATAGTCCCTTCAGCATAGCAAAACATGTACATGTATAATGAGCTTGAAGAAATCCAATGTTGTTCATTGGAGTTCTGAAACTCTGATCCAAGAGCAGCCAGTTATGGGGGACTGTTTGAAGATAAAAAAGGGAATACTACAAAAGGCTTCATAATTGCACAAGTACAGTTATCAAGAAAATCTTATCCACGAGAGACTTGGAAGTTATTATTAAGAGATAAATGTAATAATTCAATTAAGCACATTTTAAGGTAAGCCAATTAATGTGTTTTGATGCCCTTGCTAATGGGAGAGTGGACAGAGAGAAGTACTTGGTGGTGGCAAAGGAAGACCAGATCAGGTCAGTCAGGCAATTCTTGGAAGCTGACATGATGGGAACTTTTGTACTTTTGCTACATCTCCTATTTCATCACCTCTGAGGGTTGTTTTGGGAAGATGGTAAAAAGTGACTTTTTGACTTTTAACCAAGCTTTTGACTTTTTTAGACAAATGATTTGAAAAGTTGGTAAAAAGTGACTTTTGACTTTTTTGATTAATCTTTGTTTATGATGTCAAATTATAATAAAATGACCAAACTACCCCTATTTATTTAAAATATTTATAACTTCACCTATGTAACACATTTTGACCCATGAGGGTAAAATTGTAATTTCATCGTTGGCTAAAAACCAACTTCCCAAATGAAAAAAAAGACAAAAAAGTCAACTTTTAGCTTTTGCTACAAACCAAAAAAAGTGACTAAAAGTCAACTTCCCAAAATAGCCCTAAATTTCAATTACACTTCTAATGAGGTGGCAAATAATTTTAAAAGAAGAGAGAAGTGCTTGGAGAAAGTTGATTGGTTGGTACTGTTTGCTATCTCATTAGAGGTGCAATTGGAGGTGATTAAATGAGGGATGGGGCATTTCTCCTAATTTTTAGTCTGTAACTCAAAAGGTTCCTTTTGCTTTCTTTTGTGTTTATATTTCTATTTTACCTATATAAAAAAAATGTTATTCTTTCATTTCAAGTTATTTAGTTGGCATGAAAAAATTAAAAATAACATATTTTTCATATTGAAATATTCAATTTTTTTCCCCATCAATTAAAAGATCTCTTTAAGTAATTTTAATTTGTGAAAAGAATTAAAAAATTTTGACATAAGAAATATTTTTATGTTCTCGTTTTTTTACTAGATAAATAATTTAAGACGTAAATAATACATTTGTTGTCGAAGATGAAAAAACAAAGGAAAACAGCAACAAGTGCATACAAAAGACAAAAAAGGGTTCAAGGCCTCATTTGGATAATATGGTTTTTATTGGCTTTTTATTTAGTTTTCCATTTTTATGATATTTTAATGTGGGTTTTCAAATTTTTTGTTCCCCCAGAAGCAAACCCCAAAACTAAAAAGAGTTAATAAGAAAGACAAAACAAATAAAAGATGCATCCAAACGAGGCACAAAACTTTAAGGGCACATCATTGTAGGCCCAAAACATAAGCCCACCTCATTAGCATCCTTTGTTTTAGCCCAAACATAGCCCTTTTCTTCTTCTTCTCATTAGTCGTCATCACAAAACAGCACTAGCAAATTACAAAGGTTTTTGCAGGGTTCATCATCAACATTTCAAAATCACAACTAACAGAAGAAAATGGGAAGTAGATTAGGTCGAAGAGTAGTTCATTTCGCAAACCTCCCCATCAAGCTTCTCATGCCCTCTTCTTTCTGTAACATCACCGAAATCTCCCTCAAAACCATCCCTTCTGCTTCCAAGGTCAATATCAAACACTTCCTAATTCTCTCTCTCTCTCTCTATCATTATGTGTATGTCTTACGATTTTTGTCTGATTGTTGCTTAGATCGAAATCAAGAGAGTTTTGGAGTCTCTTTACGGTTTCGACGTCGAGAAGGTTCGAACCCTAAACATGGAGGGGAAGAAGAAGAAGAGAGGTGGGCTGTTGGTTGCGAAACCGGACTACAAGAAGGCGTACGTGACTCTGAGGAGCCCCTTGTCGATTTCGCAGGACCTGTACCCTATTCGGATAATCGAAGAGGATAGGAGGAGCTTGATCAAGGAGTCCAAATTGAAATCTAAATCCAAGTCCAGTATTGTGGAGGAGGGCGAAGCGTGGTCGCATTGGCTCGACAAGAAGCACGAAACCAGGTTCATCCCTGAGAAGAGTACCACCGCCAGCAGCAGCAGCAGCGGCGGTCGTGGCGGAAATCGCCGCGTTGATGGCGGTGCTGCTGAGGCGGCGAAGACGAAGTTCCCCTGGACCAGCATGCGGTCTTCTTCTAGGTAGGGTTTTGGTTTGCAATTTGAGAATTTGGGTTATCTGTTTGCTTTTCTTTCTTGGATTGGCACCTAGATGTTTACTTGATATGCTGATGAGTCATTAAATAATGTTGAGATTATATTTTGGGGGCTATAATAGCTGCTAAAGTTTATTTAGCGCTACATGATTAAAGTTCTGTAATTTAAATGTTAAATTTGATTATGGTTAAACTGGGTTTGTTTAGGCTTTGATACGTGAAATTAATGGCTATTTCAGTTTATCCAGATAGATGACTGGATGATTTGAATTGATTTTTTACAATGTGCTTGGAAAATTGTAAAGTGGTGGCTCTCTGTGGAAGTTTTAAAACTCCGCGCTATTTTGTTTGTGTTACTCTGGATTTTGAGCCTATACTTAGGATTAGGCTTTTGATGGAGTGGAAGTGGAGAAAGTTGAGCATATACTTTAGGACTAGGCTTTTGATGGAGTGGAAGTGAAGAAAGTTTTACAAAATTATTGGGTAGCATTCAATTTTTTTTTTGTTTTTTTGAGTTGTTAGCCCTAACCCTAAGTGGTTAAGATACTTTACTAGTATCTAGTTTTCAATATTTGTATTTGACCTTTGTATGTTCTCTTCTATTGTGTTCGGGGTTTTATGGAGTTCTACGAGGGTTTCTTTACTCGTCGAGATTTGTATGTTTTAATGGTTCCATCCCAGTTGGAGACCGTGATTCTCTCACAACAGGAACTTGGTTCTAACTTGTGTCTTGCTCTAAACTGCGGAATGGTGGTTATCGAGTGGAATCATCACTATGTGGTTTTCAAACAATTTTGTGGGATGATTAAGTTATTGTGAGGGTTGATTTGTGTGTCATTGCTTATTGTATAGGATTTTGCTATTTGCTAGTTGAGAAAGATATACCTTGTGTCTGGTTTTGGGAGAAAGGAAGAGAAAGGAGAGGAAAGTATATACTTTCGCCGCTCTTTTCATTTTTCCTTGTTTAGTTCCCAAAGTGAGGGGAGAAAAGAAAGAAAATTGAGGAGAAGTTATTTCAACCATTTTCTTCTTAGATCCAGCAATTACCTTTTTTAATTTGTCTAGATAAACAAACTAGTGGATTTTACCTCTACTTCTTCTCCATTTTCTCTTGATAACCAAGACGAGAAAATAATTAAACATATTTACACCCCCCCCTCCCCCCCTTCTCTCTCTCTCTCTCTTATTTTCCTCTCTCTCTCTCTCTCTCTCTCTCTCTTATTTTCCCTTCACCTATCTTCCTTTCTCCCATAACCATACACTACAAGTGTGAGCCCTGACTGGTTTCAGAGTATTGAAAGGAAACAGATGTGAACACCTTGTTTACAGCTGATTAAGCAATGAAAGGAATTTATTGGTATGTTACTATGAGGCTATGATTTGCTACTTCGTCTCTGTAGAGTCAAAGAATTCACAGCTTTCTTGATCTTTATTGAGATTCTTTTAAGTAATCAAGGTGTCATTGCTTAACAATTTGCTGTGAAGTGTGCCTCTTGATTGGACAAAAATGTTGAATCTTATTTGTAATGGTTGAGTAACATGAGATGGAGTCTGGTGAAATAATAATGGAAAATTGACTCTGATCTATGCTAAGTTGCAAGTGAATGTTTCCTTAGAAAGCCATAAGATGAGACTTCACCCACAATGCAATTGTCATGGTTTGTCTGGTTATTTTTTTTATTTTATTAGAACTCATAATTGTGAGCCCAGGAAGTGTTTGGTAACTACTATTATAGTTTTCTATTTATTGTTTGTGTATTTTTCTAAAAACAAAACAAAAACATGTTTGGTAGTACATGCATGTTTTATTAGCACACAAAAACCAAAAATAAAAACAAGAAAACATCTTTGGTGAGTTGCTGGAGGGGTGGCTGGACGTGGTGTCCAGAGAGGAGGTGGGGGAGAGAGATGCGGAGGGAATGAAAACATGAAATTTTTTCAAAACAAGTGAAAACACAATTTTGTTTTTGAATTTTTGACAAATATTTTCATTTTTTTTTGAAAATGGAATCAATTGCTAAACATGTTTTCGTTTAAAAATTTTCAAATTTTTGTGAACAAAAACATAAAACAGTAAACATAAAAGTTCCCAAACATATTAGTAATTGATTTTAAGCCAGTCATTTAATGCTGAAAAAGGAAAAGCATTTTGTTTGATGTAATTTTTGTACTTTTGCTACATCTCCTATTTCATCACCTCTAAATTTCAGATACACTTTTAATGAGGTGGTAAATAATTTTGAAAGAAGAGAGAAAAGCTTGGAGAAAGTTAATTGATTGGTATTGTTTGCTATCTCATTAGAGGTACAATTGGAGGCGATTAAATGAGGGATGGGGGCATTTCTCCGAATTTTTAGTTTGTAACTCAAAAGGTTCCTTTTGCTTTCTTTTGTGTTTATATTTCTATTTTACCTATATAAAAAAAAATGTTATTCTTTCATTTCAAATTATTTAGTTGGCATGAAAAAATTAAAAATAATATATTTTTCATATTAAAATATTTAATTTTTTTCCCCATCAATTAAAAGATCTCTTTAAGTAACTTTAATTTGTGAAAAGAATTAAAAAATTTTGACATAAGAATATTTTTATGTTCTCGTTTTTTTACTAGATAAATAATTTAAGACGTAAATAATACATTTGTTGTCGAAGATGAAAAAACAAAGGAAAACAGCAACAAGTGCATACAAAAGACAAAAAAGGGTTCAAGGCCTCATTTGGATATTATGGTTTTTATTGGCTTTTTATTTAGTTTTCCATTTTTATGATATTTTAATGTGGGTTTTCAAATTTTTTGTTCCCCCAGCAAACCCCAAAACTAAAAAGAGTTAATAAGAAGGACATAACAAATAAAAGATGCATCCAAACGAGGCACAAAACTTTAAGGGCACATCATTGTAGGCCCAAAACATAAGCCCACCTCATTAGTATCCTTTGTTTTAGCCCAAACATAGCCCTTTTCTTCTTCTTCTTCTTCTTCTTCCTTCTTCTTCTCACTAGTCATCATCACAAAACAGCACTAGCAAATTACAAAGGTTTTTGCAGGGTTCATCATCAACATTTCAAAATCACAACTAACAGAAGAAAATGGGAAGTAGATTAGGTCGAAGAGTAGTTCATTTCGCAAACCTCCCCATCAAGCTTCTCATGCCCTCTTCTTTCTGTAACATCACCGAAATCTCCCTCAAAACCATCCCTTCTGCTTCAAAGGTCAATATCAAACACTTCCTAATTCTCTCTCTCTCTCTCTCTCTATATATATATATATATCATTATGTGTATGTCTTATGATTTTTGTCTGATTGTTGCTTAGATCGAAATCAAGAGAGTTTTGGAGTCTCTTTACGGTTTCGACGTCGAGAAGGTTCGAACCCTAAACATGGAGGGGAAGAAGAAGAAGAGAGGTGGGCTGTTGGTTGCGAAACCGGACTACAAGAAGGCGTACGTGACTCTGAGGAGCCCCTTGTCGATTTCGCAGGACCTGTACCCTATTCGGATAATCGAAGAGGATAGGAGGAGCTTGATCAAGGAGTCCAAATTGAAATCTAAATCCAAGTCCAGTATTGTGGAGGAGGGCGAAACGTGGTCGCATTGGCTCGACAAGAAGCACGAAACCAGGTTCATCCCTGAGAAGAGTACCACCGCCAGCAGCAGCAGCAGCGGCGGCGGCGGTCGTGGCGGAAATCGCCGCGGTGATGGCGGTGCTGCTGAGGCGGCGAAGACGAAGTTCCCCTGGACCAGCATGCGGTCTTCTTCTAGGTAGGGTTTTGGTTTGCAATTTGAGAATTTGGGTTATCTGTTTGCTTTTCTTTCTTGGATTGGCACCTAGATGTTTACTTGATATGCTGATGAGTCATTAAATAATGTTGAGATTATATTTTGGGGGCTATAATAGCTGCTAAAGTTTATTTAGCGCTACATGATTAAAGTTCTGTAATTTAAATGTTAAATTTGATTATGGTTAAACTGGGTTTGTTTAGGCTTTGATACGTGAAATTAATGGCTATTTCAGTTTATCCAGATAGATGACTGGATGATTTGAATTGATTTTTTACAATGTGCTTGGAAAATTGTAAAGTGGTGGCTCTCTGTGGAAGTTTTAAAACTCCGCGCTATTTTGTTTGTGTTACTCTGGATTTTGAGCCTATACTTAGGATTAGGCTTTTGATGGAGTGGAAGTGGAGAAAGTTGAGCATATACTTTAGGACTAGGCTTTTGATGGAGTGGAAGTGAAGAAAGTTTTACAAAATTATTGGGTAGCATTCAATTTTTTTTTTGTTTTTTTGAGTTGTTAGCCCTAACCCTAAGTGGTTAAGATACTTTACTAGTATCTAGTTTTCAATATTTGTATTTGACCTTTGTATGTTCTCTTCTATTGTGTTCGGGGTTTTATGGAGTTCTACGAGGGTTTCTTTACTCTTTGAGATTTTTATGTTTTATTGGTTCCATCCCAGTTGGAGACCGTGATTCTCTCACAACAGGAACTTGGTTCTAACTTGTGTCTTGCTCTAAACTGCGGAATGGTGGTTATCGAGTGGAATCATCACTATGTGGTTTTCAAACAATTTTGTGGGATGATTAAGTTATTGTGAGGGTTGATTTGTGTGTCATTGCTTATTGTATAGGATTCTTTTTGGTATGGATTGTTGGCTTTTTGACTAATTTAGTAACTTTTTGGCTAATTGGCTAAAATAGCCTCTTGCCAAACGAGGCCTAAGTTATTGTGAGGGTTGATTTGTGTGTCATTGCTTATTGTATAGGATTTTGCTATTTGCTAGTTGAGAAAGATATACGTTGTGTCTGGTTTTGGGAGAAAGGAAGAGAAAGGAGAGGAGAGTATATACCTTCGCCGCTCTTTTCATTTTTCCTTGTTTAGTTCCCAAAGTGAGGGGAGAAAAGAAAGAAAATTGAGGAGAAGTTATTTCAACCATTTTCTTCTTGGATCCAGCAATTACCTTTTTTAATTTGTCTAGATAAACAAACTAGTGGATTTTACCTATACTTCTTCTCCATTTTCTCTTGATAACCAAGACGAGAAAATAATTAAACATTTTTACACCCCCCCCTCCCTCTCTCTCTCTCTCTCTCTCTCTCTCTCTCTCTTTGCCTTCGACGAAGCAACCGTTCTTGCCGAGGACTGCGAGGGCGAAGCGGCGGCGCTGGAAGTCGTAGAAGATGCGGGCGTGGTGGAGATGATGGATTGGTTGCTGCGAAGAAGATGAGTCGCAGATCTATTGAAATCCTCAGGAGCCGAATCAAAAAGAAGAGTTTCTGGTATGTGTTGAAAAAACTCCAGCAGGCAGCAAAGGCAAGGTTGCCGGCCGGCTGCCTGCCGGAAAGAAATGAGTATAGGCCTAAATCTTATGGCTCTGATACCATGTAAAAATTTATGTATTATTGATTGATGTTTATTGATGTGTTATATTACAAATCAGAGTGGCTCATTATATAGGAGAGGGTTTGGGTAGTAGGTGAGGAGTAGGTGAGGGTAAATTGGTGGTAGGTGTAGTAGGTGTGGTAGTAGGTGGTGGTAGGTGTAGGTAAATTCTAACACTAAGTTGCAAGTGAATGTTTCCTTAGAAAGCCATAAGATGAGACTTCACCCACAATGCAATTGTCATGGTTTGTCTGGTTATTTTTTTTATTTTATTAGAACTCATAATTGTGAGCCCAGGAAGTGTTTGGTAACTACTATTATAGTTTTCTATTTATTGTTTGTGTATTTTTCTAAAAACAAAACAAAAACATGTTTGGTAGTACATGCATGTTTTATTAGCACACAAAAACCAAAAATAAAAACAAGAAAACATCTTTGGTGAGTTGCTGGAGGGGTGGCTGGACGTGGTGTCCAGAGAGGAGGTGGGGGAGAGGTGCAGAGGGAATGAAAACATGAATTTTTTTCAAAACAAGTGAAAACACAATTTTGTTTTTTAATTTTTGACAAATATTTTCGTTTTTTTTTTGGAAATGGAATCAATTTTCGTTTAAAAATTTTCAAATTTTTGTGAACAAAAACATAAAACAGTAAACATAAAAGTTCCCAAACATATTAGTAATTGATTTTAAGCTATCATTTAATGCTGAAGAAGGAAAAGCATTTTGTTTGATGTAATTCAGACATAGATGATATAATATGACTAATGTATGAAAAGGTACTACTTGCTTATTGAGAATACATGATTATGAATCCGTTAACCAAACATGTAGCTTGTTGTGCGCCCAATCTGGAGTCATATTTTATCTTTTGAAACTTTTGTACTGCACTGTTGGGCCCAGACTACAATTTATTATACTGTATGATCCATAGCTTCAAACTAATAGTCTAATATAGTCAACATTGTGACAAAAGTTGTCTATGTTTGAACCATTTGTACCAATGGAAAACTATGAAGTTCTGTTATGTTTTTCTGATAGTGAGGACCAAATAAAAATTGAATGAGATAGCACTTATCCAAAGAAAAAGAAAACTGTGATAGCAATTATCAGATATGGTTTCAATCTTATTTAAACCAACGGACGGAGAAGAAGATGCAGATGGTTCTTTTCTATTGCTTTTGGCTGCATGGGAATTCATAGTGTAGGTATTTGGTTCTTAGGAGATAGACAACAGCCTTTGGTGGAGGCTGACTCTCTGGCTGCGGGAGTAGTATCTTTCTTGTCCCTCTTCAGTTTCATCGCCATCTATTTTTCCATTGAAAAAACCCGAGTTCTTAATTTTTCTCCAGCCAAATGTCCAACCTAATAAATTGCAGTGCTTGTGTTTTAGCTTGTCATATTGTCTTTGCAGCTCAGTGTAGTCTGTCTGTAGCTCTTGCATTTTCAATTGTACTTCTTCCAGTTCTGCTTTGAGGATCTTGATCTCCTTCATGGATGACGTGCTATCCTCCTGATCTGAGTTATCACCTCTTGCTGTTTGCTCCTTCCCTTGCATTGCTGCCTTCATCTTCACTTGTTCCGAGAACAAAACCTGCGAGCTTCTTTTTTAATGTAATAAATGTTGATTTTGAGGGATTATGGATTCCTGCGGCGTTACTTCCTTTGTAATGGGGTGGCATCCCTATCAATGCCTTTTGGTAATAAAATTTAGGAAAAAAAAATTACAAAAAAAAAAATCCCCCAAGGTTTGACCCCTGCAACAAAATAAACTCTAAATTTTTAATTTTATCAATTTAAATCCTAAGCTTTTGATTTGTTTTCAATTTGAACCAATTGCCTATTTTCGTTAAGTAAAATTGATAGAAAAATGGGTATTTTAGTCATTAAACTCAATGAAAATTGATATTTTAGATATTTTATGTATACTTATGTTGAGTTTAATGACTAAAATATTATTTTTTTCGTCGGTTTTAATGAATAAAAATAGACATATGGTTTAAATTGAAAACAAATCAAAAGATTAGAGTTTAAATTAGCAAAATTAAAAACTCAATTTATTTTGTTACAAAAACCCTAAGGTTTTTTTGGTAATTATCCCTAAAATTTACATGTCAAACAAAAGATTTCTTCAGTGTTACTGATAATTTTGAGGTGTCTAAAACATCAGAACTTTCTCTTGTAATGTTGCTGGCTTTCAGTGTGGGAAGTTGAATTGTAACTTTTGGCGCTTGATGCATAACATCTTTTTGTGGTTACTCTTTTTGTTTCAGGTATTGTTAAACTGATTTAGATTAATGAACAGGCTTAAATGGTTTTAGCATTTCAAATTCATAGCTCATTAGAAACCTCACAAGCAAGGTTGATTCTTAATGACAGATTAATATGGACTATAACAACCATAAGGTAATGAAAAGAAGAATAATATCGTTCATTTTTTTACATCACATTCGTGGCTTTAAGTTTTGGATTACCAATTCCTTTTGTTTCACCTTGTTTGAGAAAATAAAATATTTAAACATTTTGTTGGATGGTTTTTCCTTTTATGATCTCCTGGCTGCACTTAAATGAATTTCTTACCTTCTCTGTAAAATAAAAAATAATATAAACCATGTTTGTGTTGTTTTGTAAATGGTTTACCTTGTGAACATGAAAGGTGATGTCTTGAACTTGAATTGTTATATCTGTTGGAATTTGAGAGGTGACAACCCTGCATGAGCCCAGCAACAGGAATTAAGGGAAAAACAATTGAAGGAAATGCCTGTTACAAATATCATTAAAACCAAAGACTGAATCACGTAGAAAAATAAATAAATAAATAAATCTGCAAAAATTGGTCATTGGGATGCCCTCTCTAGAAACAACATTCTCTCTTTTTACATTAGATGGTGTTGCAAAAAAAATTGTTAGGACAATAGGATCAGTGTTATAACCGTGAATGCTCTTTCTTTTCAAAGCTATCCGCTTTCGAAATGAGATTGGTAAGAACTACTATGCTTTGGTTGTGAGCTTGGTTGGCACCATTGGAATATCACTTGCAGGGCTCAATGGTTGAGGCATCAGAAGGCACTTCATAGTGACTTGCTTGCAGCAGATTTATTGTGTGTGTGTGTGTGAGAGAGAGAGAGAGAGTTCATGTTTGAGTAAATACCTGAGAAGTGAGTCTGTGGCCTAGAGGGCAATACTTTTAATGGGGTTGGTTTGTTGTTAGTTTTCAGAAGACATAATAATGACAAATCAGCATCAGGTAGACAATCTAAGATTAGAGAGAATGTTGGCTATGGCAAGTGGACAATCTAAGAATTAGAAAGAGAATGCTGGCTATGGCAAGTCTAATTCAAACAACATAAACACGTTTATGGCCACTAGATTATTGTGTGGCTTAGATCAAGGTAGATTTGTTTGATTGAACATTTGTCGTATGCGCTTGTGTTTATGCTCATTGTGTTTCATAATCCCAAAATATTTTGTGTTTATGCAAAATATGATGTGTTTTCAATGAATTATGCTATTGCTCAAATCATCTTGTTAAGTAAATAGTTCTAGTACTATTTAACAGAGGCAACTCAGGAAATTAGTACACCCCTGTTGTTGAAATTGATATATGACATGAGCTTTACTGTGGTAAAATGTTTTACTTTTTTGTCTTCCATGATGGGTAAGAGTTTCACCTCCATTGAAGAAGATGGCCAACTTTCATTAGAGGTCTGATTTCTCCTATTATTATGGTTCCTTGACTATGGAGATGTAGAAACTGTTTGGAGCTGTAATACTGGTCTTGTAACTGTCTCCCAGCTCTGTCGAAGTTCATGATCCCGAGCTTGCAAGATTACCATGACTCCAACCATGAGTTGTTTTTTCAGGAGGGTTGACTAAGCTGCCTCTTGAGGATGGGACTTCAAATCCCACACCCAGCCCAAGTCTCATTTGGGCCGAGCCAGTCTGAGTGGCCAGGGATATGGCTTGAGCCGGGTAAAAGTCGAGACCGGCCAGCGGGCCTTCTTGCCAAATTGGTAGATCAATGTTATGTGCAAACAAATGGTGCGGGCTACTGCAATTGACAAGATTGATTTCCCGAGGTTAGAGCAATTACACTACTTAAAGCTTTAAATGCAGTAAGTTAGTAGTATCTTAATTTCTCTTATAAAAATAAAAAAAATAAAAATTCTCCCTTGTACAAAAAGTACAGCGAGGAGTACCTAAAATTTGGCCAACAGTACCTAAAAATTTGAACATTGCATAAAAAAGTAGGTAAATTGCCAACCATATGATAGTTGGAAATAGGTCCCTACCTGCAGTAGAGGGGAGCATCTATTTACACACATCACTCTCTCTTTATACACATCCTTCACACATAATTTTCCAACACACTCTCTCATTAAGTGTGTGTGAAGAGGGGATGTGGTGTGTGCATATACGCAGTAGAGTGTTGCATCTTAAACGGTGTTGCTTTTGTAATTTTTGTTGCAAAAATTATATTTTTGGGGTTTTAATTTAAAGTCTTGATATTAAAATCTTATAAGATAAAAGACATATAACATTTTTATAGTAGTTGGGACTCAATATTTTCATAAAGAAATTTATGTTCACAGAGAAATTTCAACTCATCACAGAGAAGAAATTTCTCTGTGACAAGTTGAAATTTTTCTGATAATATTATTGATGGACTTTAACTAATAAGAAAAAATACATTGAACCTCTCCTATTATCAAAAGTTAGGGCTTGGGTATTTCACTAATTTTTTATTAATGTAGTGTGGGTGAAATATGTGTCTTGTACAAGTAAAGTATAAATGAGAATTATGCATAAATTCCACTCTATTAATTTCTAATTATTTTCTATTTATTTGATATTCTTATATTTCCTTCTCCTAAATTTAGTACTCTTTACCATGCTATTATTATTAGGGTTTTTGTTTATTCTACTTCTTAGAAAAGATTTTTTTGTTAAAGACAATTAACTCTTATTATTAGGTTTTTTTTTTATTCAACTTTTTAGAAATGATTTTGTATTAGTTTAAAGACAATTAAAATATGTTTGTTAGTTTAGAATGGCTATAAATGCATCTCAAAATTAAATTTATTTGGAAACAAGTTTTTGAATAGTATAATTTGGTTGGCGATATAATATTGGATAATTCTTTTTATTCGGAATTTTAGAACATTAAATATTTAAAAATACAAAGTCGAACATAGAAAATTTGTTCAAGATATTAAATACTAACTATGACCTATGCCTAAAGGCACTTGTCAAATTAACATGTTGAAAAATGTGGCACATCACATTAAAATTTCGTTGGGTATAACTTTTATGTAAAAATGAGTTGGGTGAAACTTTAAAAGAATTCTAAACTTTTTAAAGAATAAAATACAAATACTTCACATTGGATATAACTTTTATTGGGTATAAATTTTATTTAAACTCGTGCATAGCATGGGTATTTTGGTTTATAAAATAATTTTAAAAAATTACACCCGTGTTATGAAAATCCGTTAAGCGAAGGTAAGTATGAGAGAAAAATAAAAAAAATGCCCAATGGGAGATGCCAAAACTAGTGAGTGTGAGAAAATTTAAAAGTTGTACTTGGTAGGTAAATGCTGATTTCAAGAAAGATAAGAGGGTGAGGGTTACTGGTAGTTCTTTGTTTGTCATTTTCATTTTGTTATTCAATTTTTTGACTTAAACAAATTTTGCTAGATTAAGTTTCACAAAAAAATTATTATTATTATTATTACTATTATATGGCAAACTAAAAAAACTGAAATTAGTAAATAATAATAGTAATAATAATAATTATTATTATTATTGTTATTGACATTCACATAGTTTATGATATCATCTAATACATGGCCAAATAAAATTATGAAACTCTTAGAAAATAATAATGTATTTATATTTTATCATAGGTGTAATTTTAAAATTATTATATTTTTTGTTTAATTTTTACTAATTACATTATAATTCATATTATTGTTATTTAGAACTTAAAACATAACATTAATAGTATATACATATAAGCAAAATGTGATAAAAATAGTTAAAATTTAATTTAATTTATTTTTTTATTGTTTTTAATTTTAATTTTAATTTTAAAATTAATTAATTTTATTTATTTAAAATTATGCGTAGCATGAGTATTTTGCTAGTTCACAATAATATGTAAGACATTTTCAACAAATTTTTAAAAAGGGTCTAACTTGTTTCCAGTTGGAGATCAAGATCGGATCATCTAGTTTGACTAATGGGCCCACTTTTAGGCTCTAATTTAATTATTCGAACCATTCACATTTTAAGATTCATCGAATACATTATCCATATAAAAAATAAAATGATCGGATAACAAAAATCACGAGTTTAGATAAGTTTTGTATGAAAAAATGAACGATGAGAAAATAAACGATTTATATAAAATTGATCCGAACACGTGGTAATTGTTATCTAATTGATTTAATTTTTTACATGAATAATATGTTCAATAAATTCTAAATTATAAGTACTTTAAATCAACGAAGTGGGGCTGAAAAGTTTGCCCACTAATGAAATTAGACAATCCAGTCTTAGGCCTCGTTTGGGAACAGGTTAATTTAGTAACTTTTTAATTATTTGGCTAAAATATAAGCTAAAAAAACTTAATATGTTTGGGATGATTTTTTGACTTTTTACGAAAATATGTGCAAAAAGTAGAGAAAAAAAAGAATCTTTGACTTTTTGGTATGGGTTGTTGACTTTTTGACTAATTTAGTAACTTTTTGACTTTTTAGCTAAAAAGAAAGGTTCCCAAACGAGGCCTTAGTCTTAGACCTTGTTTGAGAATAAACTGTTTTAGTAATATTTTAATTTTTTATAAAAAGATGTGTAAAAAAATAAAAAGAATAATGTAATAATTTATAATAACTTTTTAATTTTTTAACTAAAATATTAATATCTAATCAAAAGAAACTTGACTATTTTAAAAACTCACATACTTTATTATATAAACTATTATCGTAAGATTATGTAAATGTAATAATGGCATAAAAATGATATAAATATAAAATAATTATAAAGTGAGAGAAAGTACAAATAATGTACGAGACTACTCCAAATAAATTATGACAAATAAAATGGATAAGTATAACATCTTATTGTTTCAAAATGTTTAAACAAAATAAAAAGCAAATAAGGGGCAGAGTTGTCCAAATGCGACTTCAAAGAGTTTGACTTTGCCGTCTTCGTAGTGTTATTGGTTGGCGCCTTGGCGGTTTCTTCTCCCCAAACTCTCTCTCTCTCTCTCTCTCGCTCCACTTCCTAGAAAACATCTTATTCGATTTCAGATCTGTTCGTCTGAAACCTAGACACAGAGAGAGAAAGAGAGAAGTCAATCCGATGGCGGTTGTGTCTCCTCTCGCGAAATACAAGCTGGTGTTCCTCGGCGATCAATCCGTAGGCAAGACCAGCATCATTACTCGCTTCATGTACGACAAATTTGACACCACCTATCAGGTAATTCTACCCACCGTTCTCTCTTTCTCTCCCATTCCTCATAACCTCCACGTAATTCTCTTCAAATTTGCTTCTTTTTTTTTTTTTTTTTTTTTTTTTTTTTTTTTTTTTTTTTTTTTTTTTGTATTCGTTGATTTGGTTTTCAATCACTTTTCAATCCAGTTTCCAATTTTTATTGAGGTAGGGTTTTTCTGAAATTTCAATGATGTTCCGAAGAAAATTCACGTTTTTTTTAGTAATTTCGTGGAAACCTTGCATGTCTTGTGTTTGACGATGGTTGATTTGGAAATGTAATTTTAATGAATTAAAATGTTTGGCCAGTTTTATAGCTTTAATTGTAATTCTCTCTGGTTCTTTAACATGTTACATCTTTTTGTTTTTCAGATTTGGTTGACTACTTAGAGTTCTAGTTGTGGTTTACCAAGAAAAATTGCTCATGTCACAAAAATTCAGAATTCTTATATGGACATTGGTTTTAAAACTAGATTTGTGAAATGTAAAAACTAGACTAGAAATTATTGAACAATTTTGAAGAGGATGTTTCACCAAAGTAGCCATAATGATGCAGTGGTTAGCATGAGTGCTAATCCTTATGTATTAACCATACTGGAGAGAATGAAATCAGTCACACAGAGAGAGAGAGAGAGAGTCAAGTGTTGGTTTGGTTCTTTGAAAAAGACAGAGGAGAAGATCAGGTATAAAGAAAAAAAAGTTAATCGATTAATTAATAATTTTATGATATATCAAAAGGGAAGGGAGAAAAGAAGAGAAGTGGCCAAAATTTATAAGCCACAGGTTTTCTTTTGGTTAGGGACTGGATTGGATCTTTCCTATGTTATCTCAATGGAAAATGTTAACAACTAAAATTGTGGGATTTTTTAATTTCTTTTTGTCAGTTACAGAGAAATGAACAGAACCCTGTTGGCACAAGGAAACAAAGAACTGCAATTTTTATTTATTTCAAGATTTTGCCATAGCATCCCTTGGATCTATTCAATGTCTAGGACCTTGTAGTAGAAATTAATTCTTTTGAAAAAAGAAAGAAAAGAAGTTATAGAACATAAATTTCAGACATTAATTTGTAAAAGAGTATATGGTACACATCTGGTTTGGTAGACTGCAATTTTACTTCTGTCGTTTAAGTTTCTGAACCTTATGAAACCATGTCCTTAGCTTTCGAATTACTGCACCTTTAGGTGGCAAATTCTAGTTTTTGCATTAGATGTTTAAATTGTGGGAAAAAAAAAAAAAAAAAAAAAAAATTTTTGTTTTTCAGATTTGGTTGACTACTTAGAGTTCTAGTTGTGGTTTACCAAGAAAAATTGCTCATGTCACAAAAATTCAGAATTCTTATATGGACATTGGTTTTAAAACTAGATTTGTGAAATGTAAAAACTAGACTAGAAATTATTGAACAATTTTGAAGAGGATGTTTCACCAAAGTAGCCATAATGATGCAGTGATTAGCATGAGTGCTAATCCTTATGTATTAACCATACTGGAGAGAATGAAATCAGTCACAGAGAGAGAGAGAGAGAGAGAGAGAGAGAGAGAGAGAGAGAGTCAAGTGTTGGTTTGGTTCTTTGAAAAAGACAGAGGAGAAGATCAGGTATAAAGAAAAAAAAGTTAATCGATTAATTAATAATTTTATGAAATATCAAAAGGGAAGGGAGAAAAGAAGAGAAGTGGCCAAAATTTATAAGCCACAGGTTTTCTTTTGGTTAGGGACTGGATTGGATCTTTCCTATGTTATCTCAATGGAAAATGTTAACAACTAAAATTGTGGGATTTTTTAATTTCTTTTTGTCAGTTACAGAGAAATGAACAGAGCCCTGTTGGCACAAGGAAACAAAGAACTGCAATTTTTATTTATTTCAAGATTTTGCCATAGCATCCCTTGGATCTATTCAATGTCTAGGACCTAGTAGTAGAAATTAATTCTTTTGAAAAAAGAAAGAAAAGAAGTTATAGAACATAAATTTCAGACATTAAATTTGTAAAAGAGTATATGGTACACATCTGGTTTGGTAGACTGCAATTTTACTTCCGTCGTTTAAGTTTCTGAACCTTATGAAACCATGTCCTTAGCTTTCGAATTACTACACCTTGAGGTGGCAAATTCTAGTTTTTGCATTAGATGTTTAAATTGTGGAAAAAAAAAAAAAACTACGCCATCTTGCGGTGTCCATCTTGCCTGTTGGCCAATCAATGATATGGTACAACAACTTTATTGGTTATTCATTTTTTTGAGTTAATTTTTTCAAGTTCAAGTTGTTCTTAAGATTTTGCTTACTTTTTTCCATTCGGATTGCAGGCTACCATTGGCATTGATTTTTTATCTAAAACAATGTATCTTGAAGATCGAACAGTTCGCTTGCAGCTTTGGTAGGATGTCTTGCTTTCCTATATTTCATTTATTCAAGATATACCAACCATGTGCTTCCTCGTCTATTTCTCCCAACTTATTGGTATTGTTTAAAAAAATTTAAAGCACCAACATGGAGATTCTACCATGATAATGTGGAAATAATATGAGGTTACTTTTGTATTATTTAGGTGTTGTTTGATAAAACTGAAAACTGAAAATTAAGTACGGAAAACTGAATGCTAAATTTTTTAATCTAAAAATATGTTTGGTATGTATTGAAATTTAAGTGTTGATTCAATTAAGCTGTTTGATCTATATAAGCATCTGAAGTCTGAAAATAATAAAAAAATTTAATTTTGTCTTTATACTTTTTACATTGAAATGTTTAATTAGATTCTTTTGTCACACTAATATAATTGGTGAAAAAAATTATTATAATCACAATTATAACATTATATTTCAAACATGCACAAGTTAGTACATATAAAAAGTTAAAATCATATGAAAACAATGAGTATTTTTTATTTTTTTTATTTAAGTATTTTTTATTTTTTTTCACAAAATAGTTCGGAAAACTCAATTAAACAATAGTTTTTTTTTTTAAAGACCTACTAGAGAAAAACCAGATGAAGAACCAAGATAAAGACATAATAAAAATTTCCGCAAACATATATATGTATATATATACAGACACACAAGTTGATACATATATATAAAAAAAAAAAAAAAAATTCATAAACAATGCATTCATATATATACATGCAAGTTAAATCCAAATAAAAAAGTATTTTTCTAGACTTACCTTTGCTTGCCTCAATAGATGAAATTGGTTTCCTTGGGAGAGCAGCCAAAACCGTGAGAGAAGAGCAGAAAAAGTGAGTAAGCTTTGAGAAATAATTTTTCTAGACCTAAATCACTTAGCGCGTTAAGTGATAAGTAATGTAGGCTTTTTTTTACTGAAAATTATAGCCTTTTTTTAAGCGGGACTTAATTTTTTAAGTGATACCATATATGTACAATCAAACCAGCTTAATTAAGAAATCACTTAATATTTTCAGTTTTAAGAGCTGAATTAGGTTATGAAACACCCCCTTAGTATATAACGTATTGCGAAGTATAATTGTTGAAATATTCCTTTTTTCCCTACCTTTTGTTTTACTGCTGTTTAGTAATTACTGAATATCCTCCTATTTAAATAGTAATTATTTTGTATACATATGTAGCTTCATATCTCTGTTTAGTTTTTTCTTGTACTTAAGCAACATCAGAAATGTTTTGCAAATTGTTTGTGGGTTTATGTGAAGCATGTGATGAATTTTTTAAATGTTCTATTCATTTTCTTTTCTTAAATTAAATATCCTAAGTTCACAGGGACACTGCCGGGCAAGAGAGATTTAGGAGTCTTATTCCAAGTTACATTAGAGATTCTTCCGTTGCAGTGATCGTCTTTGATGTTGCTAGTGAGTATTGTCTGACTTAAAGGAGAAGAGGGTCTTTCATTACTTCTATTATATCTTGCTGTTTTCTGCTGTTTTTTTCCCCTTGATAAGCTTCCAGTTTTCATGCTAATTTGAATGCATTATGCATAAAATAAGGGAAGGGAAGCTGATTTCACCGTGGCTCTATTTTTGTTCTTAAAGGCTTGATTTTAGGAAGGGAAAGGGATGAGTATGTTTCAGAATACATAGTCCGCAGACTCTTTTCTTGTGATTGAGTAACCGCAGCTCTGCAAAAAAGATGTTTGCATATTTATACATGCCTACCATGTCCATAGTACATGCATAAAGACATACATATTATCATTTTTATGTATTTCGTAACTTGTATTTCCTACTGCATTGAATAACAATATTTACATAGTGATTAATCTTCTGTTGATCTCAATTTGTGTTATGTTCTAAGACGTGTAGGGTTTAATTGTCATGCTACATTGTCATGATGCAGATCGGCAATCTTTTCTTAACACTTCCAAGTGGATTGAGGAAGTACGTACAGAACGAGGCAGTGATGTTATTATTGTTCTTGTTGGGAATAAAACTGATCTTGTTGATAAAAGGTGAGGAATGGACTGAAGTGTTTCTTATTTTATTGTTTAACACTGGCGATTTTAGTGAGCACTTACACATTACAGAGGCCTCCCTTCATATCTAACTACCAATTGTATGGATATATTTTTACTGTCCGTATTAGATAATGGTCAGGAAAGTGGGCTGCTTGCTTTACCATTTTTCATGTGCAGAACTATATTTTTGGTTTATTAAGTTTTATTCTTTTGGACAGCTTCAACCTTGTTATCTCAATTTGTTCCCCGTTACCTCCCAGATATTTTCCTTAATTCTATTGCAATGTCTGGGCTTCTTCTTATACAATTTCCAATAATATAAGGATTCATAATTATACGTGTACTGACTACCAATGATTTTCAAACAAAACATTGATTGTAGTTTGTAATATTGCTTTTTTCAATGTTTAAAAACACTCTAGTTTGTAATAATGTTTTTGTTTCCTGTTTTTGTTTTTAAAAAAATTTGAGAACTGGAAACAAAAATATGTTTGGTAACTATTTTCGTTTCCTAAAAAATGGCAATAATCTTCAGAATTTGACATGAAAAAATTTGTTTTCACTTGATTTCAAAACAAGTTTTAATTCCCTCCTCCTTCCCCCACCGCCTCCGTTCACCCTCCACTTCCGACCACCCTCTCCAGAAACTCACTAAACATATTTTTCTTGTTTATGTTTTGAAATATGTACCAACACATTTTTTGTTTACATTTGTTTGCAAAAAAAAAAAAATTGTTACCAAACGCCACCTAAAATTATGTCTATTTTTATTAAGGAAATGAAGGTTAGCATTCTTCTTCTTCTATATAGGATTATTCTGATGGCTCTCTTCTGGTGATCAAACCAGGCAAGTGTCAATTGAAGAAGGAGATGCCAAGGCTCGCGAATTTGGAGTCATGTTCATAGAAACCAGTGCGAAAGCCGGATTCAATATCAAGGTGGAGCGACCTTGAGCCCTTCATGCATTTTTCTTATAAAGAAGCAATGCATTCAACAACTCATAATACAATAATGGGGAGTGATCTCCCATTCTCACACATCCCTTATACATTGTTTTCTCGGGGAATAGTTTTTCTTTTCTAGGATTCTTCCCAATGGCATGGTTAAGTTCATAAATTTTCTATCCACCTTGCATGATGCAAATGCTAAGCTCTTTTCTTTTTCCTCGTGTTTCTTGTACCCTTTTTTCTTCACACTTGACATATCCTAATTCTAGTACATAATTGCAGCCTCTGTTCCGAAAGATTGCTGCTGCTTTGCCAGGGATGGAGACCCTTTCCTCCACAAAACAGGAGGACATGGTTGACGTGAATTTGAAACCTACTGTGAATACGTCCAGCACAGAGCAGCAAGGGGGAGGTTGTGCATGCTAAAGAATGTAAATAGGGAGGGGAGAGAGAAAGAGAATGAAGCATCAGTTCGAATAGCCTAATACCAAAAAGGAAACAGCAAATATGATTTTGAAATTCTAAACTAATACGAGATTGGAGCAACTTTGATGCTTTCTCTTCAATATAAAAGCAATTGTTTCAAGTCTTGGGAAAGAGGAAGCTGCAGTGGTCTGCTCTTAAGGTACTAGAAGTTGATAGTTATTCCTAGATTTGTTTTGTTATTGAGATTACTATTACTATTTTTCTTGTTTTTTTTAATTCAAAAATTTTCTCTTTAGTGAAACCATATGTTTGTATTTGATTTTGAATCTGTATCCGCGAATTCATTTTCAGTAGACATTTACTTTTAGGATCATTGCATTTTGAAATACCTAAAATCATTCACAGCTAGATTTTCTTACGAGTTCTTTACGTTAGCACAGTTTTGTTTCATTTTTCGGCCAAGTATGAGTTCCTAATGGGATCATTTGGTGAATATGTGCTTTCTGAAACTACAAGCTTGAACAAAATTGGGAATGAAGCTTGTCATGAATGTACTTTTTGTTAATAATGGTCGTAATAAATCCTAAGAATATTGTTATGCATTATGTTATTTATCATCTGGTTTATTAAGTTGATAGATTTGTTGTGTATATTTCTCAACATTGGTTACTACATAGCATATATGCATAGATTCATTAATGTTACATATAAATATTCCAATTGAAGCCATGTATTTCAGTATTTGTATTAGGAAATTAGTTACATAGGCAGACCCGTGTTGCTTGCTAGTTTGGTGTCCTTTTGGAATGTGGGGTAATGGAAGTTTCAATGGTGAATGATATACTTACTATGTGGAAGCCATAGTCATGGTCTTCATGGGATAAATTGGGGCAAGTGATTGCTGCTTCTGCCAAAATATTTCAGTACTAAATCTTCTGTTAATTTGCCGCCAGAAAAGCCGCTTTGGAAGCTCGTAGGCCCAAAACCCTGATTTGGTGGTTATCTTTTCTTTTTTTTCTTTTTTTTAAAGCTACGTAGATGGGGATATGATCAACAGAGGGGACTCAATTGTGGAGAGATTTCAAAAGAGGCTGGCAAGATGGATGTGGCGTTACTCATCTAAAGGGGGAAGGCTTACCGTTATCATTATTCACTGTCTTGTCTTTGGTGATGGAGCGACTGGAAAGGATACAATGGGACTTTAATGGTTTGGGGATCATGAAGTTGGAATTTTTTAATTAAGCTTTTTTAGGCTAGTGATTATAGAGATATATACATGTGAGCAAGATAGTTAGTAGATGAGGGTGATCACTTCAAAATATGGAATTGTGTGGTTGGATTGGATCACTTTAGAAGATTCTATGTCCTATGACAAATTCTTGAGAAGGGGGTGTATTCCATGTCCCATCATTATTCACAAGGAGTGGGGTGTATTTCAATCAAGAACCAACTAGAATTGTAGTTGGGAGAGGGGAGATTTTTTAAGGCATTTACGGTGAGGGAGGAGAGTTTTGATGCGAATTTTTGCTCTTTTTTATTGTTTGATTTTTTAATGTGCATATTGCGATTGACCTATAAGCTTCCATGAGGACTATCTTTGTGAAGGAGGTCAAATTTTTGGGAGTATTTCTTTTTACGTGAGAATTGAATGAATTAGCCAATCTTCTTGGATTGATATATGTTATTCCTAATGCAGAGGAGAAACTTAAGCCATGGAAGATGTCAAGGGAGCTTTGAGGTGAATTATCCCCTTCTGAGAAAAACACCGTTGATAATTTAATTAGACATCAAAAAGTCATTGTGAATTGGTGCTACTGTGTAAAAAAAAGAGGGAAAAAAGAAAAAGAAAAAAGAGTTGATTGATCACGATTGATAAGCAACTCATTCATCCCTAGGGTGCATCCTGTGCATTTTTTAGGTTTTGTCAAGGAGAGATGAATTTAACGTTTTTGCTGAAAGATGGGAGAGAGTCGAAAAGTAATAGAAAGAATTTCGTATCATGTTTGGTGTTGAATCATTTGGAGCTAGTGCAACAAAAGATTTTTGAGGGGTGAGGCAACCTCTTTTATAGGTTAAGAAGTAGATTATAGTCTTACTAGCAAGTGCTTTTAGATACAAGAAAAGGATAAAAAGTAGGTACATACAAAATATTCGTAACACATTTTTCAAAATATTTATCATCACATTTCTAATATTATCAATATATATATATATATATATATTCATAGAGAGGATTTAAGAATTTACAGTCTACGGTATTTAATTCCCCTAGCTCATCAAATAGTTGAAAGGAAATACAATCCATTGCCATGGACAAACGTGTGAGCCATACCCACCCAAAAAAAAAAAAAGTGTGAGCCAATGTCTCTGTTGAGTTGAACTTTTCTCTTACTAGGATATCTAGAGCTATCTCGAGGTGGTCCAAACAATACCTGCAATGCAATCATAAATGAGATTACTGAAGTAATATAGACTTCAATTACTTGGGGTAATATAGCTCAATGTTGTGGTTTGATAAGAATTCCCCTAGCTCATCAAATAGTTGAAAGGAAATACAATCCAGTGCCATGGACAAAAGTGTGAGCCATACCCACCCAAAAAAAATGAAGTGTGAGCCAATGTCTCTGTTGAACTTCAGGATATCTAGAGCTATCTCGAGGTGGTCCAAGCAATACCTGCAATGCAATCATAAATGAGATTACTGAAGTAATATAGACTTCAATTACTTGGGGTAATATAGCTCAATGTTGTGGTTTGATAAGAGGTCCACCATATGAATAAAAAAAAAAAAGAATAAATACTAAAAGAGGTGTTTAAGTTTAGGCTATTGTCCAGTTGGCAACCATCTTTTAAGGGCGCGCGCAAAGTTTAACCCCTAAACTTGAAGAGATGCCTGTGTTTCTCAAAAAGCCTATCTTGAACCAGTGGCCATGGTTGGGTTACCTCCAGCTGCTCCCGTCTGTGTTGGGTTTGAAAAATGTATTAATCCCACCTAAAAGCGTAGATCATCTATTTTTACCAATAAGAAAGTGTATTATTCACACATTCAAAATGCATGAATAAAATCCGACTCATTTCTTGATCAACTTTGAAATTCAAAAGAAACTTTCGAGGAGTTTCCATAAAGTAGTTTTTTCTTTTGGTATTTTTTGCTTCAAAGTTTTACAAGGTGGCTCACCTTGGTGCATTGTTAATTCCCAAAGGGCTAGTTTTTGGTTTGACTACACATGTTGAGAATCTATTTGGTATCGTTTTCATTTTTTATATTTTCAGAAATTCATGAAACAATTTAAAAGTGTTTCCTTGACAGGGGAGGTGTTTTTATATGACCTTTAGAAAATAGTTTTATGAAACAAATTGCTTAACAAAATTTTCATATCAATTTCTATTTTTCTGTTCTCAAGAACACAAAAAGAAAACAAAAACAATACCAAAGGGGCAGAGTTTTCCAAAAGTCAATGATCTATAGAATTCACATGTCCTACTGTTACCAATGGTTACCTCAAAATTGGCATTATTTCATTTGAACAAGCATGACTTAACATAATCCAAGGGGGAGCATCAGCTCAAATTATGGATGTAATAAGTTCAAATTATTTACAGTGAAGAACAAGCACAAAAGGATAATTTAAAATTAAACCCAAAAATAAAAATAAACATAGAATAAAACCCTAACAAGAGTATTAGAGAGACTCCTTCACTAAGGAAGATCAAGCACCGGAGGGAGGGCATGTAAATGTAGAACTTATCCGCCGTGAATGTACCCATCACCAATCTGTCTCACTCTGAGTGTCAAATATATCAGAATAATTGTTCCCATACTTGACCTGAAAAAAGGAAAATCCACAATTCAACGGTTAGAAAAAAAGAAAAGAAAAGAAAAGAAAAGAAGAAAGACAATAAATAAATAAAATAAAACAAAAATACAGTTGCTAACTACAACCATGACTAGAAATGGAATTCCTGCATTCTAGCTTTAAAGATATTAAAATTTTCCTTTCCATTAGGGTTTCAAAAATGAAAAAGGGGTCCACAATAGTTTGTAGGGTTAAATACTACTGAATCAAGAACATAGAAAATTTATATGTATGGCCCTACAATAGGCACGCACAAATGTGACCAACTATTTCATATGTGAAATCCTTTTGAAAATTTATATGTATGACCCTACCCTACAGTAGGCACTGCTTTGATTAATCTGTTATTTCAGACTTTTCTTCACGTGTCAGTGCAATGGCAAGGTAAAACCATTCCTATGGCATAGGTAGCACTGTAGTGGACACTTATCTCAGAATGAAATTCCATTCACAGAAGAGAAAAACAAGCTCTAATGAAGGTTCAAATATCCAAAGAAAAGTAGGATCTTTGAATAAAGTCGATAGAACAGCAAAACTGTTCTCATGTGAAGAAAGCTTATCCCTTGCAAGTTGGTATTAGATATGAAAATCCTATACAATTTTTCTATATCTGTTTTGCGTTCTATAAAATTTAAGGAAATCATTGTCCTTTCATATAGCTTCTCCTCACAAGTTCCAGACATCTCTTCTTTGACATGCCCAAATCCACTAACAAACTATCTGACTTATCCCCCTTACATGTCTTGCTAAAATATTTATAATCCCAACACGCATTTCACATATCCCATTCTCAAATAGTCAACATTAGGTATCATAAAGCCTTTTGTCTTAATAATAATTGGACATTACTCTAGTAGAAGCACCTATGACTTCTTCTTTCTCACTCTATTTCACAGATGTAACCACCCCCCAATCGATGATGTGTTCTGGGATCACAAAATGCTGATTCATGGTTCTCTTCACCGTGAATTTTCAACACTAGGGGTGTAGCATCTTGTATCTTACCTTTGCTTATCCTTTAAGAAGCATATCCCTAAATTTGAGACTTAAAATTTACTCTTACTTTGTCATTTACTAAAACTTTATTACCAGCAAAGCATATGCACCACAAGAACTCATCCTGACTATACTCAATTCATTCATGATGATTACACAACATAGAGGTACAATGCTGACCTTTGATGTTGCAACAGAAAATTTGTTCAAGTCTAATTATCTCATACTCAGATAATTAAAGCTCAACTAATAATTGTGCATATGTAGAGCAATACCCAGTGATGCAAACAGATGAAGGATTAAGAGCCAGATCACAAATTATTGTCATGACACATTAAGATGTTAACAACAAATTGACACAAAAAGAAAAAGAGAAGGAAAAACGTATGTTTCTAAAATCTCAAATCTAAGACCTTATTCAAACAATGCGCAATTGCAATTCAGAAAATATAGTTTTAAAATGAACTTCTAAGGCAAGTAAATGCATGACATGATGGGTCTTGAACTTACAAGACAGAGAACAGGACAACAACTTTTCTTGAATTGAATGAAGCAGAGCGCTTATATTTCCTCATTCTGTTATTGGGAGTTTCATGAACCTTTTCAACTGTAGATTTATCTGTAACATCAAAGAAATATTGTTTTATGACATATCATACAGTTGTAAACATAGATATTCAGTAGGAAATGTCCAAGACAAAATACAAGAGGATACACGAGAAAGTGTAAACTAATGATTTAACAGTATGTATCTCCTAATTAAATGAATACATGAAATGATTTCTGAAAACAGAATACCTGAAATTTGTAAGATGAGGCTATTTACAATTGTAGTGTTTTCTTCAATAAAAAGGGGGGGAGGGCAAGAAAATGAAAGAAGGGGAGATATGTAAGAGAAATCATTTTCTACATCATGCTCATCTGAAGATCCAAGTTGTGAGAGCTTGCATTATTGAGCGCATTCCCTAAGCTTAGGCATTTTGGTAGCCTAACAAGGAATAAAACTTTGGTTTTGGGAATTCTTGGACTTAAGTCTCTTCATGTTTAGTTGGTAACCTCACTATGATTGTCCTGGTGCAATTTTTTGCTTCTATGCTTTCACCTCACTCTCTAGGTTGTCTCTTCAAGAGCAATGGTAGTCAAGTTTTTGGCTTGGGATAGCAATATTACGGTGAAGGGTTATGTCTAGGGATGGTTTCCCCAATCCCAACCCTGACCATGACTTGGACCGTAATGGTCATCCCTCACACCCTCCTTGTCCTACCCCATATAGCTTGAGAGAAGAAACACAAAGAGGAAAAAACAAATATTCATTGAAATATAAGAAGACATGATGCGTACTTAACCCACGTATTCATCACAAAAGAAGTAGAAAACACCAGCAAGAATAAATTTTCAAACAATCACAGGGACTTTTTTGAAATGTAAAACAATATATAAGATTTTAGAGGAGCAAATTAAAAAATTATTTTATAGATATAGGTTAAACAACATTTTATTTTTGCAAAATTAAGTGTGGTTTGCACACATGGAAGGCTATGAGAGCTTTGTACAAATAAACGGGCTCATTCACTAAAAAGTTTAAGAGCTTTTGAGGGAAGTTGTTGTCTTATGGGTTTAGTATTTTAAGATCTTGTTCAAGAAAAAATTAAAATTCATGCTTCTATTCATGCATGTAACCACTACGAGATTCATGTCTTGGTGGTAATATGTTTTCCCTAATGGAAAAAATTTGGGATTTAGATCCCTAGTCATTTTTTATTCTTGACAATCTTCAAATGTGCATTTTATCCTCTAACTTGATCTTATAGCTAGAGATTTGCTTGGTGGATACTATGTCTGTAAATATAAGAAATGCATTTTTATAATTTCCATTAGACAATTTTTATATATTTGTATTTAACACTATCATTATATGTATATATTGTTGTATAATACATGTAATATGGGTAAAATGTTGTTTTGACATTGTATGTTACATACTAAGAAGCATGGACATGTAATACGACATGGACATGCAAATAATTTTTTTTTTTCAAAAAATGCAAGACACGACACATTGGGGACACTTGTAAAACACATAATTTTATATACATTTATTATGTCATATTTTTTAATATTTAATATGTATTTCATGTCAAATATTTAATTTTATCAAATTTATTAACCTCTGGTATACTATTTTAGCAAAAACAATTAAAAATTTTAATTATTTTTTTTTTTTTGAAAAAAGTAGTCCTCAACCTGCTCTTAACGTGTCCTTAGCGTGTCCCAAGTGTCCTAGCATGTCCGACTCTTTCCAACATGTTCGATATGTGTCAAACACCTGTATGTGACCTCCGAAGAGGTGTTCGTGCTTCATAGGTTACGCAGAACACCATTTTATCTCGCATAATAGTTTTTTTTTCTCTCCATACAATAGAATGTTAAGGGTTTAGTCAGTTAGATTACAATGAAAAGGCTGCAGTCACTCCATTTGATGCGAATCTTGAATCTCTAACCTTCTCACTATCCTAAGAGATGGCTACATGGACCACTGAGCCAATTGCTTTGTCCCTATCTCACATAATAGATTAAAAATAAAAAAATATGACTATTTTTTTCCTAGTCTGTGTACCTGACCTCTACATATGCACCTCCACTCAACACTCACACTTGAGTCCATGTAACATAGTTGGTGGTAGCCCAGTGCACAAGGCTCTTGCCACTACGGGATATGGGAAGGGTCAAATGTACTTAGTGCATGCAGTGAGATTATTTCCGTGTTTCGAACCCATGGTGCTCGGGTCAAAATGGAGCAACCTTATTGTTAAGTGAAGGCCCACCCTTTAGAGATGTTTGGTGCACAGGGAGCATATATCTAGTGAGAAAATTAATAAGAGGATTTGTTTCTCATTTTAATTTTTCATGATTTTGTGTGTGTGTGTTTTATTTATTATTTTATTTCAATTTCTGTCAAAAAATTTATGTAATATGGGTAAAATGTTGTTTTGACATTGTATGTTACATACTAAGAAGCATGGACACGTAATACGACACGGACACGCAAATAATTTTTTTTTCAAAAAATGCAAGACACGACACATTGGGGACACTTGTAAAACATATAATTTTATATACATTTATTATGTCATATTTTTTAATATTTAATATGTATTTCATGTCAAATATTTAATTTTATCAAATTTATTAACCTTTGGTATACTATTTTAGTAAAAACAATTAAAAATTTAAAATTTTTTTTTTTTGAAAAAAGTAGTCCTCAACCTGCTCTTAACATGTCCCAAGTGTGCTAGCATGTCCGACTCTTTCCAACATGTTCGATATGCGTCAAACACCTGTATGTGACCTCCGAAGTGTTCGTGCTTCATAGGTTACGCAGAACACCATTTTATCTCACATAATAGTTTTTTTTTCTCTCCATACAATAGAATGTTAAGGGGTTAGTCAGTTAGATTACAATGAAAAGGCTGCAGTCACTCCATTTGATGCGAATCTTGAATCTCTAACCTTCTCACTATGCTAAGAGATGGCTACATGGACCACAGAGCCAATTGCTTTGTCCCTATCTCACATAATAGATTAAAAATAAAAAAATATGACTATTTTTTTCCTAGTCTGTGTACCCGACCTCTACATATGCACCTCCACTCAACACTCACACTTGAGTCCATGTAACATGGTGGTAGCCCAGTGCACAAGGCTCTTGCCACTACGGGATATGGGAAGGGTCAAATGTACTTGGTGCATGCAGTGAGATTATTTCCGTGTTTCGAACCCATGGTGCTCGGGTCAAAATGGAGCAACCTTATTGTTAAGTGAAGGCCCACCCTTTAGAGATGTTTGGTGCACAGGGAGCATATATCTAGTGAGAAAATTAATAAGAGGATTTGTTTCTCATTTTAATTTTTCATGATTTTGTGTGTGTGTGTTTTATTTATTATTTTATTTCAATTTCTGTCAAAATATGTAACATGTTCAGCCATTAAGAGGAAATACACTTGAAAATTGAAAACATCCATCCTTCAGCCTGGTATAGTACACATTTTTAGTGGCAAAAGTGCTCCATTACAGCTTGCTCTTCAGCACAATATTTTGAGGAGAAAGTTCAAGCCAATAGTTGAATGCAGTAAATACTGGGAGATATGGATAGCATTTGTGGATTGACCATGTAGAAACAAATAAATTTCAGAGTTTTAAACAAAATAATAGTTCACCAGGAAAGAGGCAGTGAGAATGCTATATACCTCTAGAAGGGAATTTGGGTGACACAAGGCTGTCATTCATTAAAAGCTGCACAAACTTCTCTCCTATTTGTAAGCTAATCTGTCTCTGCAATGTCTTCTGCAAATGCTGTTTAATCATCATATTTAATTGACGTTAAAAAAATCATATTTCAATTGAATGATATAACAAAATTAGAGACAAAGGATGCTGGCAGTATGTATAGCTCATTGATTATAAATCAATTACCGTCACACAACACTGTCAACCCAATTGTAAAGTTTTTGACTTTCAAATAAGGAGATCATATAGAGAATGTATATGTATGTATGCATACACAAATGGAACTTACAGTTAACGGACCCTCAATCTTCAATTTTTCCACATCTTCATCATTGGTTTTAGCTGTCTCTGAATTTCCCTTCTCAATGTCCATATCCACAAGGCATGGGGGGTAAGCATTTGCATTTTCTATATCTAGATTGACGTAGTTTTGGCAATTCAATTCAGCATCCAAGCACATCTGGCTATCAGTTGAGTTGGGGACTTCTGAGTGGCCCAAGAAAAGTAATTGTGATTCACATTGCAAATTAGTGGTGCCTTCATCAGGTAACACTAAAATGCTATAGGCATCTTGGCCCTGCACAAATGAAAAAGTAAAATCCCCATTTTCAGTGTAATTTAATATTTCAGAGGACATCAAATGGGATGGGACAAGTAAACTGAAATAGCAACAATAAAGCAAGTTCAAGAAACTGGTCAACAAGAAAATAGCAGAAGGATTTTCTTAAAATGATCCAAGCTTGTATTTAAAAGAACGTTTCACAACTTTTTTACCCGGACATAATGCATAGCAAACATCTTTGCAGTCAAGGTTCATTATACAATTTTGTTTTTTTTTCATATTATTATTATTTTGAGAGAGGGAGAATATAGCTATGGAACTCTAAATAGAAATTTAAAATGCTATAGGCATCTTGGCCGTGCACAAATGAAAAAGTAAAATCCTCATTTTCAGTGTAATTTAATATTTCAGAGGATATCAAATGGGATGGGACAAGTAAACTGAAATAGCAACAATAAAGCAAGTTCAAGAAACTATTCAACGAGAAAATAACAGAAGGATTTTCTTAAAATGATCCAAGCTTGTATTTAAAAGAATGTTTCACAACTTTTTTACCCGGACATAATGCATAGCAAACATCTTTGCAGTCAAGGTTCATTATACAATTTTGTTTTTTTTTTTTGTTATTATTATTTTGAGAGAGGGAGAATATAGCTATGGAACTCTAAATAGAAATTTGAAACCTTGGAAGATTAAAATATTAGAACAATTAACTTGAAGCACAGAGAAAATAAACTTGATTGAAGCGAATGAACTGTAAAAGAGGCAATAATTGTATATAAGGGTTCAAAACTAATGGTGCACCAAAATGAGAAACATCCCCACTGCCATTAGAGAAACTTGCACATTGATCCTTAATAGCTCAAGAACACAATTCTGAGCTGGATTACAGTGAATGATCTAAAGCACCTAACAATTTGAATTTCAGAGGAGTCACCACCAATTAACAGGCAAAGAGGATCCAATAATTCAATATCACATGAAATAGTATTAGTATCTACAGAGTCTATAAGTAAGTCCTCAACATTTTTCGGATAAATTTACTTGTGACCTGTGAAAAGCTCATTAGAACATCTGAATTGCCTGACACAATTAAGATGTTTTACTCACATAACAGACTCCAATCCAGATCAAACCCCTAGAGAACATTCTAGGTGATATATCATCAATAGGGCGTACGAATGAAGTTATACTACAAAGGCAATAGGGTAGTAACACCAAAACCCAGTGGATTTGGATATGACTTAATGCCTTAGGTTCCATTCCATTTGCTTAAACTAGCACATCTAATTGAAAGTTTTCAGGGAAAAACTCGTCATATCTCAACATATACTTTGGTAGAAAATTTATAATGCCTCTGAAGTGAGCTAAACAAAAAAGAAAAAGATATCTCTTTACACCCAACACTTGTTTTCCACTGTTTGTTTCAACTGAAAGTAGTTCCTGAAAATTGTGAACAGCTACAATTAATAATTATCTCCATTCAGTTTACTACCTACACGGGCACAGAACTATAAATTCTTTAAAAAAATTCCACTACAAGTATTTTCCATACAAACAAACAAAGCCTCCAATGGTTAAATTAATTAGACATGGTTTGCAACTAAACAAGTAGAATTTTTAAACAATTATCTTAAAAAAATGAGAAATTTAGATAAACAACAGCATTAAGACTAGCAATCAAGTTAAAATTAACAACACGAATAGATTTGAAGAATCGTAGAGCCAATCTTCAAACAGAACCAATAAATCGACGAAAATTAAAAAAATCTCAAAATGCTGGTGAAATTAGACAATGAAAGCTGGAAATAGTTGGATTGGTCCATTACCAACAGCGTAATTGGCAGGGACATTAGAGAGAAGCGAAAAGTCTCACCTCCTGGCACGAATCAAGCGCCATAGGAGAGAAATGACTAAGAGCTGAAAGAGTAGTAGAGAGATACGGAGATTGGTTCAGTCCGGCGATTCGAAGAGAGAGAGAGAGATTGAGCTCAGGTATGTGTTGTGCATTTTCGAATCTGATGTGTTTAGGTAGATAGATATATCAGATTTATGTAGTATAATATTCTTCGGAGAGAGAGAGAGAGAGAGAGATAGGTGTAGGGGGGTCTCGTCGAAACGAACGTTACATTGGAAGGAGGGCAGGGTTATTGTAATGGAAAATACTTAGATGTCCCAAATTTTCTATTAAATAAGTGGTCAAATGTCTCATATAGGTGTGGGGTTCGTAATTTGTAGACCCCACACTCATATGAGACATTTGGTTATTTATTTGGTAAAAAATTTGGTGTTCCTATTGTAATTTTATGAACAAATTATATTAAACCCTTCTCAATTATCTATCATTTATATTTTATTTTTCAGTGATACTACATATATCAATTAGTATATATATATTAGTGTATTAATTAATGTTATGATATTATTATTAGTGGTGTTACATGTATCAATTAATGTACACACTAGTGTATTAATTAGTATTATGATATCATTAATGACCCTATTTATTATACAAATTATAAATACCTAAAACTTCTGTAATTATGTCACATCACTAGTTGGTACACTAGTGTGTACACTCATTAGAGCATATAGCATTATTCTATTATTATTGACCACATTTATTATACAAGTTATAAATACCCAAAACCATACAAATGATGCTACATCATCTTCTGTTAGTACACTAGTATATATATTAATCGATACATATAACATTATTCAATATTTTATATTTAATAATTACTCTCATTAAATTATTTGAATTTAGATAGTCTTTTTATTAGTTATTTATTAGATATTTGAACAGAAAATTATAACGTGCGATATACATGATGATTATATTAAATTTTTATGAAAGATATAATAGGATAATTTAGTTATAGGTTGTTTGGGATGTTCTAAATAAGTGTAGTTTTTGATTTTTTATGAAATATAGGTTGAGTTTGAAGTGATGTGGTAGAAAGGTGATGTGACTTAAATATGATAGTGACTTTTTGGCTGTTTGACTTTTTTAAGAGATGCCAAACCTAATCTTAATATAATCATCATGTGCACAATACTTGATAATTTTTTATCTAAATATCTAATAAATGATTAACATAAGGACTTAAGTCTCGTTTAACATGTAACACTTTTAGTTTAAAAGTCAAAAAATTATTAAAAAAAACTAAAAAAATCTATAATTTATGCAAAAAAATCAAATTTTTTTTTTATCTCTGTTTTTATGCATTTTTTCATGAAAAATTAAAAATTACTAATTTTTTTTATCTCATATTTTAATCAAAAAATTATAAAAATAATATATTTCCAAACAAGACCATATATTCAAATTTAGATGGGTTGAGGAGGTAATGGTTGAATTTAAAACATTAAGAAACAAAGTGTAAATAATTAATAGTTTTAGGGGTTTATTATAATTTGCCCTAATTTTATCAAGTGGCACGATTTGCCAGGAAGGAAAGCTCTCCCTCCGAAACACGACACGAAAGTTGCTAATTTTATATTCTCACCAAATTGCCCTTCAATTTTTCTTTCTTTACTTACCCTTCGTTTGGGAAGTGAGTTGACTTTTTAATTTTTAATTTTTTTGACTATTTTAGCCTGGGTTAAAAAGCTTGGTTTGGGAAGGACTTTTTGACTTTTTGACTTTTTGACTTTTTGATTTTTTTGACTTTTTTTGTGAGAGAAAAGTGTAATGATTATGAGTTGAATATGATGTTTTGTTTTTTATAGCTAAAATAGCCTATTTTGCCTCCGTTTGGGAAGTGGGTTGGCTTTTTGACTTTTTAGCTTTTTTGACTATTTAGCCTGGGCTTAAAAGTTTGGTTTGGGAAGGACTTTTTGATTTTTTTGAGTTTTTTTATGAGAGAAGAATGTAATGATTATGGGTTGGATGTGATGTTTTGTTTGTTATGGCTAAAATAGCCTATTTTATTTTTTGTGGCTAAAATAGCCAAAAAAGCCTGCAAACCCACTTGCCAAACACACACTTTATCTTTTGTGGCTAAAATAACCAAAAAAATCCACTTTAATTCTTTCCAAACGGACCCTTATTTAAAAAAATGGCCGACCCATGAATGGCCAGACTTCAAAATCTCAATCTAGATCTCACCTGATAAGTAATTATAGACCAAAATAACTGTAGCAAATGAAATTGCATATAAAATAAAGTTTGTTTGATTTCAACTTTTTAAATTTAGTTTTTTAAAAATTAAATTTTTTATTTTTCATATATTTTTTTTAATTTTTAGTAAATATTTTTAAAATTTTAAGCATTTTTTGTTTACTTTTTTAGATACATCTTACTTAGATGTATCTAAAAAATAAAATATTTGTGAAAAAATATTTCAAAAAATTAATAAATACAAAAAATATGAAAAGTATATTGAAGTTTCATATTATTTTTTTTTTGTATTTTTGGTATTTAGTGAATTTTTTAAAGATTTTTTTTACAAAAATTATATTTTTTAAATGTATTTATGTTAGGTGTGTCTAAAAACTAAAAAAATTGCTTAAAATATTAAAAAATTTAGTAAAAATAAAAAAATACGAAAAATAAAAAAGTAGAATTTTTTAAAAAGTGTTTTTAAAAAACTCAAACCAAGCAAAGTGAGATAATGTTTTTGTTTTGTTTTGAAATTTTTAAAAATGTTTTTTAAATTTTAATTCATATTTTTTTAGTGAATTTCATATATATATATATATATATTAATCAATTTATTTATTTATTTTTAGATTCACTTCATTTAAATTAAAAATATATAATTTGTGAAAAAATCTTTAAAAATATTCCCTAAATACAAAATAAATAAATAAAATAATTACATTTTATATTTTATATTTATTATGATCGTTATTATTTTAGTTTTTAAGTATATCTCATTTGAAACATGCTTTTTTTTAGTAACTTTTTGAATTTTTAGTTAAAATATGATGTAAAAAAAATTAGCATGTTTAGGATGACTTTTTGATTTTTTATGAAAAGATGTGTAAAAAGTAGAGAGAAAAGAGAATCTTTTAACTTTTTGATATAAGTTGTCGGATTTTTAGTTTTCTTAATAACTTTTTAACTTTTTAGCAAAAATCACCACTTACCAAATGAGATTAGATGCATCTAAAAAATAAAAATAAAAAATTAGCCAAAATATAAAGAAAAAAAATCACTAAAAATAAAAAAACTCAAAAATTATTTTTAAAAACTCAACCAAATAGAGTGAATAAATTTGGAAAAGTCACATTTCCATAAAATAGTATAGAAATGATTTCATTTTGATTTTGGTGTAAATCTCCTATGTATATAATATAAGTATATTTTTTGTGTTTGATGCAAAATAAATATTAATTTCATAGAAAACTTAATAATTTTAACTTTAAATATACCAATTTTTTTTTATTAATTTGTATATATTTTTCTTACTTTGCATTAAAATGATATTTATGAGTATCCAACTTATTTACAATTTCTTTAATAAATTTCAAATATTATATGGAAGTGGGAAATGAAATTGGGGACATTTTGGGGATAGTGAGGGAAAGGCAAATGAAACTTCGTGGGGATAGTAATAATATAACATGTAGCAGCAAGTTATATGTACGAGACATTTGTCTTGGTGTCGCTTTAGTCAGTAGCTGCACGTGATTTTCAAAAAGCTTTTACGCTAATTGACAAAAGTCAATCAAACAAACTTATTAATCCAAGAAATAGAGAAGAGTCACGGGTTGTCAAACTGTTCCTTTCTTTGCTTACCCCAAACTTCTTTCCATGATTCCTTTCTTTAATTGGCCCAAATTAATCAGCATGGTGTAATTTTCTCACAATAGGGGTACTCACGGAGAAGTTATTTGCCCTCTTCAATGGAGTTGTTAAAATAGATTATATATTATAATTTAATAAATTATATATTATAATTTTAATAAGAAGTTATTAATTTATTTGAAACCAAATAATGACATTGATATACCAAATTTTGAGTTCGCTGAATCGCTCGATTTTTGTAAGTCGAAAGCCGCTTGGATAACCGGTGCAATCATTGTTAAACCGCAGCTGTCATTCTTGTTTCTAAATGACCGGCCGGATAACTGACATACACAAATTTAAACGATTCGGACGAGCTAAAAATTTGGTGAATGTAACGTTGCCTTCTATAACAAAAATGTCTAACCCAATGAGACTCTGGTGCTTTTCAGATATTTAGTTTAAATTTTCAAAATATTTTAAAATTTATAGGAAATTGTCTAGTGGAATGAGTTGTGCCACTTATATGTTTGGAATAATATATATAATATATATAATATTGAGATTTGAAACTCCTAAAATTATTTTTGTTAAATAAATATAAAAAAAAAAAAAACACAACTTTTGTATGATATTGCATAGATTGTGAACCTCAAATATTGCAAGATTATATTATAGAGGTCAATTATAAAAAGGTCAAAGTTAAATTCAACTTTTTTTTGGTTTTAAACTCAAATTTTAGTAACAAAATTATCGCATCCGGCTTTGACAAGAGGGCTTTTAGCAAAAAGGAGAATTTACGTATATGTCTTTAATATGTGAACATTAACGCAATACATCCTATTATAATTAATGATATTTTCATCAACATTATTAAAAATGTCACTAATTATAAGTTTTAGCAATAATTTAAAAAAATAGTCCACAAAAAGTCTCTAACTTTCAGCTTTCAGTGAGTGATTTGAAAAATTCATCAAAAAAATCATTAATTGTAATTTTTTAGCGACAATTTATAAAAATTGTGACAAAAAAAAGTCACTAATTTAACATTTTTAGTGACATGCAAAAAATCTCAAGAAAAAAAATATTTTTAGCAAACTATTTACTATGACTTATTTCAGTAGAACTTTATAGATAATTATGTCAAACTATAAAGACCTATTGGTAATTTATACTTTAGTAAATTGGGTCTCAAAAAATCAAAAAATCTATAAGAGAAACAAAATTAGAATATGTATTCACCCAAAAAAAATTAGAATGCGGTGTTTTAAATTTGTAGCCAATAAATCCAACGTAACAATAATGAATGTGTAATATAGGTACAATTTTACAAATAAAATAGGTATTTGAGAATTTTTTTTTTAAATTTATTGTAAAAATTTCTGAGGGCAGTGAGA